TCCGGTATCAGGCAGACATGTCTGGTTTTACACACATTAGCAGCCAATTAAAAACTGGCTGGCTGACTTAACGCAGAGCACATTAACACGTTCAGTAACTCGCTGCACATGTCTGAAGGGTGCTCTAAGGCCTCGTTCACAGGTGGTGTATAAAACTGTACGCCCGTAGAAAGCTGTGTTTACCCACACAGGGATGTACAGATGCTCTGTGCATCTCTATACAGGCAGTCCCACTGATGTAAATTGGGACAAGCCACTACTCCAGATTTGACATCCCTGTGGGTGCGGCTGCAAGTCCCTGAACTCACACACAGATGTCAAACTGGGAGTAGCAGCTGTGTCTGTGCAGCAGCTGCATCCCAATTTACATCAATGAGATGCATAGAACACCTTTGCATTCCCCTTCTGGGTAAACACAGCCCTCCATGGGCATATGATTTATGTGAAGAAGCCTATAGCTTAAAGTAGAAGTTGATCCAAACCTAATTAACTTTAAACCTACTAGCAGCCACATTCCAAACCAAACCTATCTAGCCCTGTAGAGAAGAAATCGCTACACATACCTGTTCTACAGCAGCTCTGGTCCGGTCCCACGCTGAGCTGTCAGCAGGGGCTTCAGTGTGTAGGCGTGTGCAGGAGAATCAGCAGACAACAGAAGCCCTGTAGTAAGTCCATGGGTGACAACACTTCCCAGGCATTTCATAGAGGTTTGTTCTCTCCTGCACACAGTAGCCACCGCTGGAGGCAGGATCAGCTTTAGAAAAGGTATGTATAGCAATTTCTTCTTTACAGGTACAGATTTGCTAGATTGATTAGTTTTAGAAAGCGGCTGCGAGTAGGTTTAGAGTTAAATAGGTTTAGAGTTAAATAGGTTTTTGGTGAACTTCTACTAAAAAAAAAAAGACCTTAATGGGACAAATACTGTATGCAGCTTGCAATTTCTGATGACTTCGCTTAGCTGCCTGGCTTTCTCTGCCACCAATATTATGGATCACCTATAATGCAGTTATGATAACCACCACCCCCCACCATGTCCTGTAGCTATCTTTCCCTACACTGCTGAGATCCTCACTGTGTGGCCTGTTTGGCAGCAAAATATTCACCTTCATTTCTGTGGTCCGAGCCGCACAGAGATCTTGGTGGAGCAGGGACAGGTTACATTAAAGGGTAAGTTCACCTTTCTAAAATAGACAAATTCACATTTTCTGCAGGTTACAAAATGTGCATTATTATTATTATTATTTTTTAATAAGGAAAAAGCATTGCACCCACGATTAGTAGATGCAGGGCTTCTGCAGACTGTCATTGTATGTGTCTGCTTTTACCTCAAATGTGTAGGCTGTTACACAATGACAGGAACTCACTAGCACCCTGGTAGTTCATCGAGAACTACAAGCTGTCAGCTGCAAAGGCTGTTGGTACTTGTAGTTCATGCGTTCACAGAACCCTGTGAATAAAAGATGCAGCCATGTGGGCGAAGTCCCACATAGCTGCGTTCTTTCCAAACTGTGACATCAAGTGCATGGAGAAGATCCCCTGCCCATTGTCACAATTAAAAGGGGGATCGGATGGGAAAGGGGGGGATCGGATGGGAAAGGGGGGGGCTGCAGGAGCGGGAACATGTTACACCCTAAAAATGGGTGGAACAGGTTACCAAAAGTGGACTAATCCTTTAACACGTGGAAGAGGGATGGGGACAGACATCACACCCAAATGAATATTACCAAATTAAAGATGCAGCCACTCTTCAAACTCTGCCCACATGAGAGAATGGTCATGGATATAGTCCCATCACACTCTGGGTAAAGCCTGGAATAGGACGGTGCTACAGCAATGCCTGGTTAATTAACTGATGACTAATATACAAGAAAGCCCATGTCACCAGCACACCATGGATCCATTTACAAGTTCAGAGTTTTGTTCAAACACATCACGTGTAAATGTAACCCTCTGGAGTCATGCAGGAGCCCTTAGTCAGGCATGTGATCTATGAGATTGGGATATGCGCACCTGATGAAAGGGCCTCACAAGACTTCCAAACTTTGCACTTCCACTTGATGTAATGAGATCACTTGGAAAACAATTGTGGACTTGTAGATGGATCCAAGGTGTACTGGTGACAGGTTTTCTACATTGGTGAACGGGTCAGAACACTAGTGTTGGTACATTTAGCAGTGTGCTCCTGTACACACCGAGAAGCATCCTTCTAGCACCAGAGCAGCTCCTGTAATGGATGTGCCATAGTTACTGACAACATTGGGCTAAGTAGTAAGGAAGCAACGTTCAAGTAATGGCAAACAAGGACAGTTCCAGTGTTTGTTACTCATGTGATGAGGACGGCATCGTTGCAAGCGTTTTCGCAAATTTGTAAAAACAGAAAACCATTGCGGGCCCATTCACAGCAGGAGCGTTAGGCTGCCTTGCCTAGTGTAGTCTCAAGGCCTTATGTCCTGCTTGTTTAGTTCACACACTGCACTGCAGTGAGTGCACTGAGGAAAGAAAAAAAACATGCGGTCCTATTTTTGCCCTGCAGTGTTGCAGTGCGTTACAGCACACTGCAACACTGCAGGAAAAATACATGAATGGAATGTCATTTTACATAAAAAAAAAAAAAAAAAAAAAAAAAAGGAGAAAAGTAAACAGTGGGATGAGCTGCAATCAGCACACACCAGCCGCCATGTTATGATGCATCTCCTGGTGGGAAGCAGCCCTGAAAACAAGTTCAGTGTTAGGTGCACAGTAGACAATAACAACCTGGTTGTCTTCTATTACGTCACTTACATCCAGCATATCATATCCATAGATCCTCAACAGCTGGAGGACCTCGAGGCAAGGCAGGATTTCGGGTCTACCAGCACTTACAGATCACTGGCCACTTCAGGACCTTGGGTTCAAGGCTTCTCAGCAACCTATGGGCAGCAAAGCGCACTTTGATATCCAGTCCCTCAGCTTTTTCAGTTTTTTTATCAAAAGCCAGAGGGCCCCGGGCTTTTGGGTTTATGGTTACTAACCACACAGAGGGAGGAAGACCACGCTATGACAAGCAGTTCCTCAGAAGCTAGTGGACTGAGCATTCTTGTTCCTCAGCACTCAAGGGGATCACAGCATGCTAGGACTTCGCCTGCCAAAGGACCCCATGATTTTCTGGGACTTCTGATTCCTCGGCTCAAACTCTGGGGTGTCAAAGGAACGCCGAGATTTATGGTTCCTTAGCTCAGCAGCCAGATGAGCCCAGGGGCTGCTGGGATGTCTGATCCCTTGGCTCAGCAGGAGGGCCCCAAGACGCATTGAAATATTTGGCTCCTCAGCTTAGGGGGGCCCAAGGAATGCTGGGTTCCATAACTCACCAGCTCTACGGCTCCTTGGAATTTTAGGTTCCTTACTCAGCAGAAGGGCCCAAAAACACGCAGAGTCTATTTGCTCCTCAGCTCAAGAGCCAGAGGGGGCCCAAAGACATGCTGGAGCCCCTGGCTCCTCAGTTCAGCAGCCAGAGGGCCCAAGAGCATACTGAGACTTTTGGTACCTTAGTGCTAGAGGAGCCCATGGCATTCTGCACTTGAGGTTTCACATCAAGAAAAGGCCACAGAACAAGCTGGGACTTGCGGAACCTTAGTCCTGGTGGGGTCCCAAGGCACACTGGCTCTGAAAAGTCCCCAGAGCAAGCTGGGCCTTAGGCCCCTCCAGCACTGAGGTACCACATGGCATGCTTTACTTGTATGTCAGTCTTGGAGGGGCCCAATGGCATGGTGGGAATTTGGGTACCTCAATCCTAGAGGGACCCCATAGCACACTGGGTCTTTTAGTTCCTCACAGCAGCCAGGAGGGTCAGAGCACGCTGGAACTTGTGGTTCTTCAATACTGGAGAACCCATGGCATGCACTTGGAGCCCCTACAGCACCGAGGTACCACACGGCATGCTAGGACTTTTAGTACCTCGGTTCTGGAGAAGCCCAAAGGCTTGCTAATTGTGGTACCACAGTCCTAGAGGGAGCCCGTGGCAAGCTGGGTCTTTTAGTTCCTCAGCAGAGCAGTCAGTAGGCCCAGAGCTGGCTAGGACTTGTGGTTCCTCCATACTAGAGAGCCCATGGCATGCACTATGGGGGCCCCCCCCCCCAAGGCTGCTGGGACTTGTAGTACCTCAGCCCAAGAGGGGGTCCCGTAGTACACTTGACTTTGGGCTCCCTTGGACGTGGAATCCTCATGGCATGCTGGAACTTCAGTCCTGGGATTCTTCAGTCCTGGGGGCCCCATGGTATATTGGTACTTGTGGTACCTCAGCCCTAGTGCCCCATGGCACACTAAGACGTGTAGTTCCTCAGTCATGGAGCCCAGGACCGCTTGGACTTGTGGTACCTCAGCCTTAAAGCCCAGAGCATGCTGGAACATGATGTTCCTCAGTACTAGACAGCCCATGGCATGCACTAATAAGCCCCTGAGGATGCTGGGACTTGTAGTACCTCAGCACAACAGAGGCCACATAATATGCTGGACTTGGGGTATCTAAGTCTTGAGGGAACCCCATGGCATGCTTAACTAAAGAACCTGGAGCAAGCTGGGGCTTGTGGTACCTCAGTCCTGGGGCCCCAGTGGCACACTGAGACTTATAGTTCCTCAGCATTAAAGCCCAGAGCCTGCTGAGACTTGTGGTACATCAGTCCTGGGAGCCCCATGGCACACAGACTTGAAGTTCCTCAGCACATCAGCCATGAAGCCCAGAGCCTGCTGGGACTTGTGGTACCCCAGTCCTGGGAGCCCCATGGCACATTGAGACTTGAAGTTCCTCAGCACAGCAGCCATGAAGCCCAGAGCCTGCTGGGACTTGTGGTACCCCAGTCCTGGGAGCCCCATGGCACACTGAGACTTGAAGTTCCTCAGCACAGCAGCCATGAAGCCCAGAGTCTGCTGGGACTTGTGGTTCTTGAGTACCAGAGAGCCCCTGGCTTGCACTGTGAGGCCCCCGAGTCTGCTGCGACTTGTGGTCCCCCCGGCCCTCTCCTCACCGTCAGCCTCAGCCCGGACCAGCAGAGACATCCCCTTCAGCCTGTCCACGTATGTGGAGGAGACGTGCCCGGTGCCCCGGTCGTCCCATTGTCGGTCCTCGTTCAGAGTGTAGACCTTCACCCTCCGCCTGGTGTCGGACATGATGGCGTACTCTTCTCCCCCCGGCTCGGCTCTATTCCCGGCTCCCCCCGCCGCCCATCATGGCTGCCGATGTGAGTGCGGACGATTCCTCGGCTGGCTCCTCTCCTCACACAGCTCCTTCCCCAGCCTCCTCCGACCTGCTCTCCGATCACACCGCCGCCATCTTGTAACCCGATTCTCTCCTTTCTCTTCCTCCAACGAGAAATGGAACAGGTTGGCCGGACCGGCTTGGCAGGGGCTACGGTATCGCTCGGGGGCCAAGACTGTCCCCTGTGGCTTCCGCCAAACGCCGAATGCCGGCAGGGGGCGCTGTCAGCCACCGGCTAAAAGAAGCTGCAGAGGCCATGTTTAGTGTGGGAAGAAAGGTGAAGAGGACCTGTCATTTTTGTACAGCCAATGGACAAAGCCATATGGTGAGCCTAACACTGATCCTATCATGACTGTTCTCTGGTCATGGACCATACATCATTTGTTCATCTATGGCCTCCATATTAGTGCCTTAAGAGAGCCTGTCACCAACTTCAAAAATTCACCCTAAGGCCCCGTTCGCACCAGTGCATTGGAAAATGCAATATGCATTTTTGGAATGCGCATATCACGGTTTACGTGAGTTTTTATCCCTGGTCACCTGGGAAAAAAGTGACACGACTCAAAAAACACATTTTAAAAAATTGCACGGTGCGTTTTTGTGCATTTCCATTGACTATAGTGGTGCGTTTCTAAAACACAACGCACAGATGTGAGCACATAGGATTTAAAGAGTCCTTTTTTTTATGTTTTTGCTGCACTGGGAAGGTATGTTTTTCTTCAGCAAAACCACTTCAGTGTGAACAGGGCCAAAGGACTGTCAATGTGATCTGACTGAAATCAGCACAGTGAAGGTGGAATGAGCTCAGTGGATCATATGGTTTCCTTTGTGTAAAAAAAAAACCCAAAAAACTTTATTGGGATTCTACAAAAACATCTCAACAAGTTCAATAGCCAGCCATGTGGTGCAACATAGTGGATTGCCTCTGACCATGCTGCGCTGATAAAAGTATTGCATGCAGTGGTGTGAACCGGCCACATTAGGGACGAGGTATTTTGCCTTGTCCATACAGTGGGACAGCACTGGAATAGCCACCCACTGCATCTGGCGTGAACATACCCTTAAAGCTGAACGCCAATTTTTAAGGCACACTATATTGCCAAAAGTATTGGCTGCCCTGCCTTTACACATACATGAACTTTAATGGCATCCCAGTCTTAGTCCGTAGGGTTCTATATTGGGTTGGCCCACCCTTTGCAGCTATAACAGCCTCAACTCTTCTGGGAAGGCTGTCCACAAGGTTTAGGAGTGTGTCTATGGGAATGTCTGACCATTCTTCCAGACGTGTATTTGTGAGGTCAGGCACTGATGTCAGACGAGAAGGCCTGGCTCACAGTCTCTGCTCTAATTCATCCTAAAGGTGTTCTATCAGGTTGAGGCCAGGACTGTGCAGGCCAGTCACGTTCCTCCACCCCAAACTCGCTCATCCATGTCTTTATGGACCTTTTTTCTGCACTTATGTACAGTCATGTTGGAACAGGGAGGAGCCATCCCCAAACTGTTCTCACAAAGTTGGGAGCATGAAATTGTCCAAAATGTCTTGGTATGCTGATGCCTTGAGTTCCCTTCACTGGAACTAAGGGGCCAAACCCAACCCCTAAAAAATGACCCCCACCATAATTCCCCCTCCACCAAACTTTACACTTGGCACAACGCAGTCAGGCAAGTACCATTCTCCAGGCAACCACCAAACCCAGACACGTCCATCAGATTGTCAAACAGACAAGTGTAATGAGTTTTAGCGTTTACAAATGATGGTGTATATATACTGGAATTAATATTTTTTTTTTTTTATACTAGTAATGACAGTGATGTATACTGGGACTGTGATACGGTGGTCAATCTGACACAGACACTTTTTGGGAGCTAGTGACACTGTACTAATGACACTTTTTAACATCTATGGGTTAAGTGTATGCCTAACAGTGCTTTGTGTGGTCTGCGTTATGATTTTACTAAGGGATGTTCCAGTTTTTATTCCTTGCTTTGCAGGGAAACAAAAACCGGCAAATCCCCGATGTGTCGTTTACATACACAGGACTCTGTCCTGTCAGCCTCTATAGCCTCCGGCCAGGACCCACCAAACAGCTTGTGCTGTGTCCAATCGCAGCACAGTCGGGGCGGCATGTGCTCCCCCTACCCAGAAGAGCTGGATCATGTATTAGATACATGATCCAGCGCAGGAGAGCTGCCATATATCTAAGTGATGCAGTTGGCAAGCAGTTAAACAAAACTATTTATTTGTTTTGCTTGTGGACTCCTTATTTGGGTTCATGGACACTGGTTTATTGTAAATGCTGTTTCTCCTGACAGGAAAAAAATAGTGTTAAAAATGGAACCTTGGTCTCTTTTTTTCACAGACATTTAGATGCGTTCAGCATTTAGGAGTTTTTTTGTCATTGGCCAGAATTTTAATTTATTAGTCATTGAAATGAATAAACACTCAAGCACTAAACGCAACTCGAATGTAGGAAAGTCTAGATGCATTTAGGCATGTTTGGCATTTTTTTTTTTTTTTTTTACAACCTTTAAAATCTCTTCCCCTGAAAACGATTTGTCTGTGTTCAGGAGAGGAGCTTTGACTAGGTTCTAAACATGGCTGCTCTTATGCACTAAAAGCCTATATGTGCATGGGACACCTAGGGGGTGATTTACTAAAACCAGAGAATGCAAAATCTGGTACAGCTCTGCAGAGAAGCCAATCAGCTTCCAGGTTTTATTGCCAAGGCTTAATTGAACAAGCTGAAGTTGGAAGCAGATTGACTATCATGCACAGCTAAACCAGATTCTGGAGTGCACCAGTTTTGTAAATCTCACCCATAACCAGGGGCGGACTGACCATTTGGAAACTCGGGCACTGCCCGAGGGCCCGGGGTCAGTAGGGGGCCCCATGAGATGCCCCTGGTACCTTTTTCATAGGCTTTTTTGAGTTTGCGCAAGGACACAGGGGCCCCATGATCCCCTATTGCCCGGGGGCCCCATGAGTTGTCAGTCCGCCCCTGCCCATAACCTTTTATTAACGGGAGTTCAGGGGCTTAGGCAAAAAAATAGCAAAAGCCCCAAAAACATTAGTTTAGGAACAGCAGTTTACATAAACCCTTTTTCACCTAGGTGAGAATTCCTCCCCAGCCAGTGGATGGCTCAGGTCCCCAGAGAGCCCTGCAGCACATCTGAACATGCACCAGGTTACACACATACACACTGCTGCCAGGGAAGTCCAAAACCTTCCCCGTCTTTGTGCCTCTTATTTACTTGCAATGTGCCTTTGAACTTGTTGAAAAATCTCACACACCAGTTCCCTAAAGGCTTCATGCACACAGCTGTACCGCAGCCAAGTATAGCCACCCATTGGCATGAATAAAGCAGCTGCTGTACATGGTCATGCACTGGGGGTTGCATAAAACAGCTAGGTATATCAGGGCTCATGCAGCACTTTACGCAACCACGTACAGCCTCTTTTTCTACTGCATCTCAGTGGAAGGCTGTACGTGGCACCAGTGGGTTCCAGGAATGCCATTACACAGGTTCTGCATGCTACTTGGCCCCTGTACAGCTATGTGTTTGGGGTCTAACACAACCCTCACTCCTTCCATGTCCTAGTTCTTTCTTTTGAAAGATTGTAATTACTCTCTGTGGTGACCCAGCTTCTCTGTCCTTCACCTCCCTACACCCTTTTATGTAGCTGCTGGGGAAGGAAGGAAAGGAATACAATAGAGTGTCACTTGTGTGTCAGCTCAGAGTCTGCTGGCATCACATTCAAGCTGGACTTTAGTGATTACATGCAGGAGACCCAGCAATTAGCGGAGGGCAGTAGCCCAATTGAAAGCAATGGGAGGCCAACAGATATTCGCAGCTGCTCACATATAATCATGATCGCCACTTAGGATTATTACCCATCTTAGGGACTTTGAACAGGTTGGGATAAAACCCCTAAAACCATTCTGGCACAGGAACTGGGAAAATGACACCTTGATTGGAAAAAAACCTGCTAAGGCTACTTGGAATCTGCCAATCTGTGCACAGACACAGGAAGGTTCAAAGAGATGATCCTGGAGATCCAGGCTTTGCAGGTTTACTTTTCTTAACCTTTAGCGAGGTATAAACCTTTCCAGACTGTGCCTCAGGCATTTTAGGTAGGTTGAAGCAGACAGGTGTTCTTGCCACACTGTGGTATCCTTGATGGCATCGAAGGAAGATCCAAAGAGATGTTTCTTGAAGACCATGCGAAGCAAGTGCCTTTTTGTCTCAGACTTTGCAGTCTAACACTTTAGCCAAAGTAGTCTTCAGATGTGAACTGAAAAACTCAGGACAGATAAGCCACAGCTAAGACCAGATGAAAAGATGTACCTGCCAGAGCTCTAGAGAGGGTCTACAATCACTTTTCAATGGGATCCTAAAGGACAGGTGTATTTTCCACAGGACGGTGCTCACTTTGTTGTGAAAGTACACTGACAAATCCACAGTGGAGACGGACCACTTTTAACAAATTCCAATTCAAATGGTTACAAGAGCAATAGGTGTTTGGCAGGAGAAAACATCTTGTCATGATGCTTCCAATCTCCGTAGGAGGAAGATTAGGAACATTTGTTTCCTGGATCTTACTCTGGTCATTTGGATTTGTTTCCTGGATCTTTTATGACTATGCCCAAAAAAGATTTAAGCTAAGCATATCAGGCTAAAAAAAAAAAAAAAAAAAAAAAAAAAAAAAAAGGACCAAATAAGGCCTCTTGGACATAGCCATAAAATAGAGTATATGGGCACACAGTGTAAAATACATCTGTTGTTGGGGCTCCTAGGAGTTACAGCTGTAGCATATTTTCCCCATAGAAGCGCATTACATAAAATGCTGTCTGCACATAACCCTCTGCTACTGCTTTGTACTTATTCTTTTGATCGTTCAGTTTTGTTCCAAGCTCCTGTTCCCATTTTTCCAAGAACTGGGGCGAGTCGGTACTTTCTATATCCATGAGAATCTTATAGATCTTAGAGATACCCTTTTTTTGGACCACAGTTACATTCAACAATTTTTCAAATGGATACTGATCCTTCAATATCCTCAGTGGTTGTGGGAGCATTGAGTCAAAATGACCCAATTGGCCATATCGCCATTCGTCTAATGTGTAAAATGTTTTTCTTTTCCTTTAATTCTAAAAAAAAGTGTGCAATTTCCCCTTATTCAATATATCCTTCAAACGTGCATTCTTATCTTTAATCCATTTCCCTGTAATCTTCCGTCCCCACCAAGGGAATCATAACAGAATTATATTCCCAACCCTTTTGCTTATACATCCTATCCCAAACACTTAAAACCTTCGTCAGTGGACTAATATTTCCATCTAATGTTCGAAATGTATGTGGTACCCAAACCATCTTCCCTAACTGTGCCTTGCTAAGAGTCCCTCCCATATTCACCCAACCTTTCTCTTGTGAATTAAATATCCAATCTTCAGGAAGACGTGGGTGTGTTGGAGTAATTTTAAAACAGCCGCTTATCACCAATTGCTGCACGACCCCACCCCTTCATCCACTTGAGCAAAGCTCGATAGACACTAGGTATACGCCACTATCTTGGGTGCCATGCATATAATGTACACTCTATTTGACTGAGACCGAATTTTACAGCCCAGATACTGCTGGGACTGACGTATATCTTGGAATACCACACATGCCAACCAAGATTGACATACAGGACCCTCTGACTGTTACTCTGATTACCATGAACAACTTGAACCGGAGCAGTTGCAGCCGAACCCCCTTTCTCCACCCCCCCTTTTTTTATTTCTTTCAACCCTCTCCCCTCTTTTTCCTCACTTTCTCTATCCTACACTCTTACCAATACCTTCCCACTTTTGTATTTAGGTGAACTTCGATTACCGGAAAACCCACAGGTACAAATACAGTGCTTAAGCTTCCACCCCCAGGGGTGGACATCCAATTACCCACTGATATAACTACCCTTTCACCGTGTATTGCATTGCATTCTGTAATTAAAGGGACTACATGAGGATTTGCTGATTCATGTACCCAATTATGTTCACATCATTCTTCCTGTCTGTTTTTTGTTTGGATTTTGTTTGTTTATTCTTGTTTTCAGCATTGTTATGTGATGAAACTATGTATACTTCAGATGTATATACCATCAGGGGATACTGGCATTTGCCAAGACTTTCCATGATCTGAATGTAACCTATATATGTTATCACTGTGCCTCTTTTCTCAATAAAAATTGTTTTTGGGAAAAAATATCCAATCTATTATTCGTGACAATATCACAGTTTGATAATATTTCTTAATGTTAGGAAAGCCCAGACCCCTTAGTCCTACACAAAACCTCGTACTTAAGAATTATAAGTTTTAAAAATCATTTACTAGGGAGCAGGGGCGGACTGACCATTCGAGCACTCAGGCACTGCCCGAGGGCCCAGGGTCAGTAGGGGGCCACATGAAATGTCCCTGGTACCTTTTTATAGGCTTGAGTTTGGGCAAGGACACAGGGGCCCCATGATCCCCTATTGCCCAGGGCCCCATGAGTTTTCAGTCCGCCCCTGCTAGGGAGTGTTTATTTTACTGTACCCCCACCACCACCCAACACCTCTGGCACTGGACCCCCCCTATTGCCAAACACCATCACAGCACCCTCCTCCTCCAACCAAGCTCTTTGTCACAGTACTCCCCCATCACTCAACCCCTCTTTCACCTCAGCCCCCCCAAACTCAGCAGCTGTCTCCAACCAGCAAAAAAAAAAAAAAAAAACCACACCAAAACACACATGTAAAAATTAAGTACAAACCATTTAATACTTTAGCAGTGATTTAAAATAGATTATGTACAGAATATACATGGAGAATACAAAATGTTCATTTATACCAACTAACAGAAGCTAAAGTTTCCAGGTCTGATTTAAGATGAAGAGTTGTCACTTCCCATAGTAATACTATTTCTATCACTGAGAGTTTGGATCACAGTACTAGCTGGAAACTGAAGAACTTTTCTAGACAGCCTCATTCTCCCATTTGATGGATCTCGACCAAAATATTTCACCTGTTCAGAAATAAATTATTGGTAAAATGAATAGATCACAAATATTGAACAATGAGAAATACAGCATACAAGTATAAACAATGTCACTAAGGCAAGTCATAAATGATTCAATTTTCTTTTTTTTCCCAGGAAAAAAAATTAAAATTTCCCCCATCAAGAGAAATGCCTCCTGCGGCGCTATTGTGTTTTGCCAGCAATAAGCCTTCCTGGCCAGCAGAACACAATGATTACGGCTATAGCTGCTGGCAGTAAATACATGTAGAAAAAAAAAAAAAAAAATCAGACAGGCTGGTTGTACCCAAGTCGATTGATGGACTAACTTCAGTACAACCAGCCTGTACATAGAGGAATCAAATGTCGTCCAGCCTCTGCTGAACCGGCCAAGATTTAATCCATCTTATGGCTGGCTTAAGTGCTCGATCACACCACATGTGTGCATGTTTATGGGCTATCAACACACAAAAAACAAAGCAGACTGCAATGCACATAGCATTTGTTAGCATGTACTGTACATGTGCATTGGGAATCAATTCAGAATGGATTGCAGTACATATACAGTGTGTTACTGGTGTTGTGACTTGTCCTAAGGGTTCCATGCACAGATAAATCTAGTCCAAGTAGCACTATCTAATTAAAGCAGTTGTTTACAGCATAATTTTTCATAAAATAACATTCAATAGTTCTGCAGAGCCACCCTTACCACCTATTCTAGGGTCCCCCGCCACTTCTCTTTTCCGAAAGCTCCCTCAACAAGGGGGCACTGGTGCATGTGCGCTCTCGAGCTAGGCTGTATGAGTCCACAGACACACATCACGGCTTGGCCACGCTCCTAGCTCCCTCCTCACAGGGAGCCAATGGCTCCCCCTGCTGCCTCTGCATCCTCTGAGAAGAGGGAGAGAGCAGCGCTGCTGCAGACAGGGTCAGCGCTGGGCCAAAATAGGAGCCAAGGAGACTGGGGGGAGCGGATATTGGAAGGTTCTTTTTTACCTTAATGCAGAGAATGCGTTAAAGGTAAAACGCCTAATGTCTTTAGAACCACTTTAAGTCTACACAGGAAATGACTGATACCTCCCCTACACTCCTGCAGCTGCACAAAGACAAGTGCACCAATCTACTTATGGGTCTATATCATAATAAGTTAAAGCTAAACTCCAGGGAAATTAGAAACCTATGTGTCAAATTTGAAAACAGCGCGGCCATGCGGTGCTCTGCCCACATGGCCACATCATTCATTTACTGACTTCTGTGAATGAATGAACGAACTGCAAGTCCTGATAGTCTTAGCGGCTGTGGGCTTGTAGTTTTCTGTGCAGCGCCATGGTAGTTAATGGAAGCTTCCTGTTAGAATATTTGCTTGGCCCTGCATCTCTGTACGGCAAGCAGATATACTGACAGGTCTGCAGGAGACCTGCATGGCATCAGCGATCTACTGATCACTGATGCAATGCTTTCCAGACTCCTTTGGACAAAAATAATAAATGCACATTTTTTAACCTGCAAAAAAAAAAAAAATGTGCAATTATTATTTTTGTCCAAAAGGTGAAGCTTGATTGTTTAAATTGTAGCTTTGGGTATAATAACCTACCAATCTCTTTGTACAGAGTCAGAAAAATCTATACTTGTAAATTCCAAGCTCTATCTACAGTCAAAAGCCATCAGTGGGTCCTGCTTTCATCACTGAATTTCCCATCTTACACTACAGTTATGGCAGCAGGAAGAGTGTGAAGATCTAGCCAGATTGTGTAATGGTGTGAAACGTTAGTGGCATCAACAACTGAACACCACATATTAGCACTTATAATCATCAGGCAACAAAAGTTATTTTTAAATCTTTTAACATTTTGTAAATTTGACAACTATCACATTTATGGACTACACTAATTTGCAAGTGGTTCCATACTGTCATACCAGTGAGGATACAGTACCTGAATTTGTTGACCAACTTCAAGACCTAGTGCACTTGCGTGAATTATCTAAAAATAAAGATTAAAAGTCAGATAGAGACAAACCCCTAAAATCAGTGTCACATTAAAAAATCATTGCTGCTGCTGCAAGAAAGAGAGGGAGGGGGGGAGAGAGAGGAAGGGAGGGCAGGAGGTAGAGAGGGAGGGGGGGAGAGGGAGGGAGGGAGGGAGAGGGAGGGAGGGAGAGGAAGGGAGGGAGGGAGGGAGAGGGAGGGAGGGAGGGAGGAGAGGAAGGGAGGGAGGGAGGGAGAGGAAGGGAGGGAGGAAGGGAGGGAGGGAGAGGAAGGGAGGGAGAGGAAGGGAGGGAGAGGAAAGGGAGGGAGAGGAAGGGAGGGAGAGGAAGGGAGGGAGGGAGGGAGAGGAAGGGAGAGGAAGGGAGAGGAAGGGGAGGGAGGGGAGGGAGAGGAAGGAAGGGAGGGAGGGAGGGAGAGGAAGGGAGGGAGGGAGGGAGGGGAGAGGAAGGGAGGGAGGGAGGGAGGGAGGGAGAGGGAGGGAGGGAGAGGAGGGAGGGAGGGAGGGAGGGAGAGGGAGGTTGAGGGAGAGGGAGGAGGGAGGGAGGAGAGAGGGCTAGGTGAGGGAGGGAGGGAGAGGGAGGGAAGGGAGGGAGGGAGAGAGGGGAGGGAGAGAGGGAGGGAGGGAGGGGAGGGAGGGAGGGAGGGAGGGTTGAGAGGGAGGGAGGGAGGGAGGGAGGGAGAGGGAGGGAGAGGGAGGGAGGGAGGGAGAGGAAGGGAGGGAGGGAGAGGAAGGGAGGGAGGGAGGGAGAGGGAGGGAGGGAGAGGAAGGGAGGGAGAGGAAGGGAGGGAGGGAGAGGAAGGGAGGGAGAGGAAGGGAGGGAGGGAGAGGAAGGGAGGGAGAGGAAGGGAGGGAGGGAGAGGAGGGGAGGGAGAGGAAGGGAGGGAGGGAGAGGAAGGGAGGGAGGGAGGGAGAGGAAGGGAGGGAGGGAGAGGAAGGGAGGGAGGGAGAGGAAGGGAGGGAGGGAGGGAGAGAGGGAGGGAGAGGAAGGGAGGGAGGGAGGGGAGAGGGAGGGAGAGGAAGGGAGGGAGGGAGAGGGGAGGGAGGGAGAGGAAGGGAGGGAGGGAGAGGGAGGGAGGGAGAGGAAGGGGAGGGAGGGAGGGAAGGAGGGGGAGGGAGAGGAAGGAGGGGGAGGGGGAGGGAGAGGGAGAGGGAGGGGGGAGGGGGAAGGGGAAGGGGGGGGAAGGAGGGGGAGGGGAAGGAGGGGGAGGGGGAAGGAGGGGGGGGAGGGGGAAGGAGGGGGGGGAGGGGGAAGGAGGGGGGGGGGGAGGGGGAAGGAGGGGGGGAAGGAGGGGGAGGGAGAGGGGAGGGAGAGGTGAGAGAGAGAGAGGGAGAGAGAGAGAGAGAGAAGAGAGAGAGAGAGAGATGAGAGAGAGGTGGAGAGAGAGATCTGGTGAGAGAGAGAGAGAGAGAGAGAGGGGGGGGGGAGAGGGGGGGGGGGAGAGAGGGGGGGGGGGAGAGAGAGAGAGAGAGAGAGAGAGAGGGGGGGGAGAGAGAGAGAGAGAGGGGGGGGGAGAGAGAGAGAGAGGGGGGGGGGGGGGAGAGAGAGAGAGAGAGAGGGGGGGGAGAGAGAGGGAGAGAGAGGGAGGGGGAGGGAGGGAGAGAGAGGGAGAGATGAGGGCGGGGAGAGAGAGAGGGGCGGGAGAGAGAGGGAGGGGGAGAGAGGGCGGGAGAGGAGAGAGGAGGGAGAGAGGGCGGGAGAGGAGAGAGAGGGCGGGAGAGAGAGAGGGCGGGAGAGAGAGAGAGAGGGCGGGAGGGCGAGAGGGCGGGAGAGAGAGAGAGAGGGAGGGCGGGGAGGGCGGGAGGGGGAGAGGGCGGGAGGGCGAGAGGGCTGGAGGGCGGGAGGGCGGGAGGGGCGGGAGGGGGGGGAGGGCGGGAGGGCGGGGAGGGCGGTGAGGTTCGCGGTGAGGGCGGGAGGGCGGGAGGGCTGGAGGGCGGGAGGGCTGGAGGGCGGGAGGGCGGGGGGGGGGGGAGGGCTGGAGGGCGGGAGGGCGGGAGGGCTGGGAGGGCGGGGGCGGCGTTGGAGGGCGGAGGGCGGAGGGGGCGGGAGGGAGAGGGAAGTAACACTACAAATTATTTTCTTCTCTGAATGTGTACTTCCTGAAAACATCACTATATTACTTTGGGTAATCAACATCATTTTGGGCAGCAGAATATGATCCTCGTATTTTTAACCAATAAAATGCTTAAAATTTTGATTAAACGTCTACCTTTCGATGGTCGAGCTGTGAATTGTGAAGCAAAACAGGTGTCATATTTGGATACAGTTTCACCATTACACCAATGTCCCTGCAATGCATAAAGAAAAAAAATGTCCACAAGCGTTTCTTAAAGTGAGCCTTCTATTCTCCTTGGCTAACATAGTGGTGTCTTCATAATCCATATCAGCAATTTTACATGCTCTCCTCCTTTTCCCAAAAACATGCGATGCAGGAAAATAAACACCCCCTCAGTTGCTGCCTTATGCCTGCTGCCCTGCTGAAGGCAGGTATACATGACTGTTAAACAGGTCATAGACAGACTGAATCTCAGACGATTCAACAGGGACTGGCCGAGATTCGATCCATCGATGGGCAGGCTGGTTGTACTGAAGTCAATTCCAACAATCGACTTCAGTAGAACCAACTTGTCCAAATTTTTTTGTATGACATTACTGCCAGCAGCTATAGCCACTAGCAGTGATCACTGTGTTCTGCCAGCAGTGAAGGCTATGCACCGACAAAACACAATAGTTACGCAGGAGGCATTCCCCCATCAATCACTGACTGTGAAGATGGGAAAATCAAGCAATTTTATTTTCTTCCACCTTGGGTGGAAAATCATATCATCTATGGCCCGCTTTCCAGAAAACATTGGGAAAGGAAGGGGTTGCTTTACAGCTAACCTACAGTAAGATTTTTAAAACACCATTTAATTAATGCATAGACCTGGTAAAAACACCCAGTCTGTCTCAATTGCAGTGTTTTGTAAATCGCTGCACAGCAGTAATGCATAATTTGCAAGATCTACCAGCAACTACTGGAGATGAGCAAATATAATTAAAAGTGAAAGACCAGCAAATATAGCACTGCATAAGTGAATCAGGGCTATCTGATCCACCTAATTATGAAGATTTGTGGCAGACTGCACAAATTATGGATGTTATATTTGTTCTCAATTAGAGTAGCTCACTCTGATGGGTAATTAAAATCTAAAATAGAGATTTTCTTTTCAAATAAATGCTACACAACCAAACATGTCTTAACGCTTATTGCACATGTAACACGTATGTGTCCATGCAGGGCTGAGGTTTCTGTGCTGATAGCATTCTCACTGTGCCAATCTCAAGGTCACATGATTTGGCAAGTTCATCCTGCTGGCCTTGTGCATTACCTGAGATAGCATTTATTTCAAGAATAAAACACAGTAACATACTCACAGTGATGAACAACAGGCTCATCACAATTCTCCAAAAGAACAGCCAGAGGATATGTCCATGCCTCCAGATAGACAGGGAAGATGTTACAAAGTCCTGTGGACCCTAAAGCGTTTTGAGGGTGCCCCCTCTTCATCAGAGCTGACTGTCAGGGGGCACCCTTGAAATGCATCAGCATCTGGAGGTGTGGGCACAAGGTCAGTCTTTCCTTTTGGAGATTTGTGAGGAGTTTGTCAGAAAACCTTTACTTTCCTTTCAGAATCAACAAATGCTGGCCATTGATAACAAATAAGATTTGTTAATTTGCACACACACAAAAAAAAAAGGATTTTTCTTAAATTCATTCAAGACCATATTGCAAAAACAAAAAAAACACCCCAAAGAAAGTTTGTGGAGCAAAGCTAAATTTGAGACAACAAAATCCTAATTAACAAGAATTGAACTACAGCTAAGACTAATTATTCATTAAGCAGGCGTCCAGCAGACAGATAATTATAAAAAGGGTGTTACATAAAGAAAACCCCTTCTCATTTTATGCTGTCAGCAGAAATGTCAAGGCCTGAGAAAGAAAATTGTTTCTTTACACAAGAAAGGTGAAGGCTGTGATGGGCGTGGGTCAGACCCCAGCCCTTCTCACCAAAACTCGTGACCGAAGGACTAGCCAATCTAAAACCGCGAAGTCACGTGCGTAACAATGCCACACCCAGCTGCACCCTGCACAATGATTTTCCAGCTAATTGGACCACAATCGACGTACCTGCAGCCTGGGAGCGTTTGCTACTGGGTCAGGTTAATTACGCAATTAACCCTTCACACTGCCACCACCTCCTTTTTATACAGAGAAAGAGGAAACTCAGCAATAAACTAGGATGACTGGTTAATTGTCGGTATCCCGCTATCTCTACAGACAGGTTATACAGAGGGTTAAACACTCATAGTAGCACCCTTCAGCGGCAGGGATTCGTAAGTTACATTCAAGAGCTATAGAAGCAGTTCAACACTTTCAGAAAGTAAAATTTATTACTAAAAAGGTCAAAAGGGTGCAGTAGAAATATTTACAGAAAAAAGATGTAACACACACATATATATATATATATATATATATATATATATATATATATATATATATATATATAGATATATAGATATAGATAACAGAAAGAAGTTTAAAGGGTTAAAGTACTTGCCAATCAGCCTTGGGTTAAGCAATTTCAAGTGTAAGGAGCTCCAGGATGATTTGCTTTCTTGTCTCTACTGCTAGTTTCGTTGGGACATGGCAGGAAATTCTGCTTTCTCTCGGTCTGCTAGATGTTAAAACGCAGACGGTCCTCACTTCTCTGTCTACACACAAAGCATAACAGCTTCTTTTCCTACACAAAATCAACTGCGATCTTCCTACAACGGACAAGCCAATTACCTTATTTGGCAAGAGGATTGTATGGACAGCCCCTTAGCAAGGTACGCTGAACGCATTCCTGAGGGAGGGGGGAAATCGGAGGAGGGAGACTGATTTGTTTTGGGGAGAGATACCAAAATGTAGAGGTTTGGAGCAGAATGGATGACCACGCCCATCTCTGTGTGCATGATTGTGACAAAGGCTACAAAAGATTAGCAAAGCTTTACTTATCAGTCAGAATACTGTAGCAAAAGTGATACAAAAATTTAACAAAGATGGAACTGCAACCATCTCACATCCTAGCCATCCAAGGAAGTTAACACCTCGGCAGGAGCGTCTTCTGATGAGAATGGTTGAAATAAAACCGCCATGCAAGTTCACTGCAGTTAGCTAAAGAAGTAAGAAAGCCAAACTGGGGTGATTGTTTCCCATGACACAATACAGCATACACTGCAGAGGAACGGCATGCATGGGTGTTGTCCATGAAGAAAGACACTCCTAAAGCCCATGCACAAAAAAGCCCGCCTAGAATTTGCCAGGGCCCATGATGAAAAAGAAGACGACTACTGAGACTCTGTACTCTGGAGTGATGAGATCAAAATAAATGTTTTTGGAACGGATGGCTTCAAAACTGTATGGCATCGCAAAGGAGAGGCGTACAAAGAAAAATGGATGGCGCCTACAGTGAAACATGGTGCTGCTGTATCCTTCTGAGGGTCTGCATGGTGTCAGGGAGCTGCATTTCATGGATGGTATCATGAATTCACAGATGTACTGCTCTATATCGAAATGAAGATGCTACCATCACCCTGCGCCCTTGATCTTTGTGCACTTTTTCAACGTGACAATGATCCAAAACACACATCTAAGGCCATTGAAGAACAGGATGAAAGTGATTCAGTGGCCAAGTATCTCTCCTGATCTGAACCCAATCGAACATGAGTGACATGAGTGAACTGTTTTGATTTTATGCACTAGTAAACATACAGTGAAGAACAGAAGTATTTGAACACCCTGCGATTTTGCAAGTTCTCCCACTTAGAAATCATGGAGGGGTCTGAAATTCACATTGTAGATGCATTCCCACTCAGACAGAATTTAAAAAAAAAAATTCAGGCAATCACATTGTATGATTTTTAAAGAATTTATTTGTCTTGCAGTGCTGAACATAAGTATTTGAACACCTGAGAAAATCAGTGTTAATATTTGGTACAGAAGCCTTTGTTTGCAATTACAGAGGTCAAACGTTTCCTGTAGTTCTTGACCAGGTTTGCACACACTGCAACAGGATTTTGGCCCACTCCTCCACACCGATCTCCTCTAGATCTGTCAGGTTTTGGGGCTGTCGCTGAGCAACACGGAGTGTCAGCTCCCTCCAAAGATGTTCTATTGGATTTAGGTCTGGAGACTGGCTAGGCCACTCCAGAACCTTGATATGCTTCTTATGGAGCCACTCCTTGGTTATCCTGGCTGTGTGCTTCGGGTCTTGTCATGTTGGAAGACCCAGCCACGACCCATCTTCAATTCTCTGACTGAGGGAAGGAGGTTGTTGCTCAAAAATCTCACAATAAATGGCCCCATTCATCCTCTCCTTAATACAGTGCAGTCGTGCCTGTTTCCCCTTCGCAGAAAAAGCACCCCCAAAGCATGATGTTACCACCAACTCATCTTTCTTTTTCCTCCAAACACGACGAGTGAAGTTTCGACCAAAAAGTTCTACTTTGGTCTCATCTGACCACATTACTTTCTCCCATGCCTCCTCTGGATCATCCAGATGGTCATTGGCAAACTTCAGACGGGCCTGGACATGTGATGACTTGAGCAGGGGAACCTTCCGTGCAATGCATGATTTGAAACCATGACGGCGTAGTGTTCTACCGACAGTGACCTTTGAAACTGTGGTCCCAGCTCTCTTCATGTCATTGACCAGCTCCTCCCTTGTAGTTCCGGGCTGATTCCTCACCTTTCTTATCATCAGTGATACCCCACGAGGTGAGATCTTGCATGGAGCCCCAGTCCGAGGGAGACTGACAGTCGTCTTTAGCCTCTTCCATTTTCTGACAATTGCTCCAACAGTTGATCTATTTTCACCAAGCTGCTTGGCAATTGCCCAGTAGCTCTTTCCAGCCTTGTGGAGGTCCACAATTTTGTCTCTGGGTGTCTATTGACAGCTCTTTGGTCTTGCCCATGGGGTAGTAGTTGGTGTCTGACTGACTGTGGGGTGGACAGGTATCTTTTAAGAGCTCAGACAGGTGCTACCAAGTTAGATTAATGAGTGGCGTAGAGGTGGAGTTTTTAAAAGGCACAGTAACAGGTCTTTGAGAGCCAGAATTCTTGCGGTTTCGTAGGTGTTCAAATACGTATGTTCAGCAGTGCAAGACAAATTCTTTAAAAATCATACAATGTGATTTCCTGATTTTTTTTTTAAATTCTGTCTCTCAGAGTGGGGGAATGCACCTACAATGTGAAGTTCAGACCCCTCCATGATTCTAAGTGGGAGAACTTGCAAAATCGCAGGGTGTTTCAAATACTTCTGTTCCTCACTGTATAGTAAGGGGGACTTATTTACATACCAATACTGTGAACTGCACAGCACATGTTTACACATTTACACACACTAGAATAAACAGCCCATTTAAAATGAATGGGCTGAAACTCACAGCATCATGTGTGAAAACAGGGCTGCATTTTATTGCTATGCATATGCGTTTTTGGAGTGAATGGGCCTAACAGGATCACTTCCTTATCCACAAGGATAAAGGCAACAATTTCTATAAATTCATAGAATATAATAACAATGCCACATGGCTATTTGTTGTTTAGAATACAAAAATGCTCCTCTTTACCTGATCTCAGTTATGGTGGCTGTGTATATTGCTCCAAACTCCAGGATATAGTCTTGCTGCAATGAAGAATATAATTTAGCATTGACATAGTAGAAAAAGTACGTAACGATAACAAAAGTAACACAAACATGGGTGGGCTTACGTCATCTTTGCAAATTTCACTGATGAACTCTCTAGCTTCATGCATTGCACTGGGTGTTGGAGCAAAAACTGAAAACACTTCTTCCTCTAACTGGCTCACAGTTACTCCTTTAAATAAAAAAAAGGGACATTAACTACATACATAGTATGTACAATACATAGAAGTACAGAAAATATCAGCTGAAGGTCACAATATTTTATGGGTTTCTTGGAAATCCCCTGCTTGTGTGGGGCCCTTCCTGTAGCTCTCTCATGACACAGGTATGCAAGGTGTCATTGGATTTTTTTCAGCCTCATACATGCATTGTAAATATTCCTATTAAAATAGAAGAAAAAAAAACGAAAAAAAAAACAAAAAACTTATGTACTTTAGTACTTGCCTGTTTCAGCTTGAAGTTTCTTTATATTATATCCACTCGGACCAACAAATCTTGTTCTCTTGGACAAAGGCACATTGACGTTTTCTATAACCAAAATTAAATTAAACACCTGGTTTAGATCATTTTCTTACAGGCTCTGGATTAAATCACATTTTGTGTACAAAAAAAAACAAACAATACAAATTGACACAAGTGTAAATCATTACAAAATTTAATAAAACAATTGAAAACTACATTCATAGAAAAAAAAAAAAAAAAAGACAAAAGTTCATCTAGTTCAACCATAAAAAAACAAACATAAAAAACCATCCTATACCCACAGTCGATCCAGAGGAAGGCAAAAACCCCCCCAGCAAAGTGTGATGCAATTTGCTCCAGCAAGGGGAAAAAATTCCTTCCTGATACCCAGAGAGGCAATCGGATATTTCTTGGATCAACTTTACCAATATATGTTAGTAACCAGTTATATTCTATGTATCCAAGAATCCAGGCCTTTTATTACCATGCCATTATTACATTTATGATCAACCAGAACTCCCAGATCATTCTCCAGCATTCATTCCCCCAATTATATGCCCCCTAGTATGTATGATGCATGCATATTCTTAGCCACACAAATGCACAACCTTACATTTATCAACATTAAACCTCATTTGCCACACAGTTGCCCAATTAAACAGCGCAGTGAGGTCAGCTTGTAAGTTGGAGATATCCTGTAAGGACGTTATTCCACTGCACAGCTTGGTGTCATCTGCAAAGACTGAAATGGGATTTATAATCCCAGACCCTATATCGTTTATAAATATATTAAAAAGTAAGGGTCCCAACACTGAACCTTGGGGTACACCACTGACAACTCCTAGACCATTCAGAGTATAAATTATTAACCACTACTCTCTGAATTCGGTCTCTTAGCCAGTTTTCTATCCATTTACATACAGATTTTTCCAAGCCTGTAGACTTTACCTTACACATTAGCCATGTGGGGAACTGTGTCAAAAGCTTATGCAAAATCCAAGTACACCACGTCCACAGTTAAACTAACAGGTCTATAATTACTTGGTAAAGATTTTGATCTCTTCTTAAAATATAGGAACCACATTGGCCTTACACCAATCCAGTGGTACTATGCCTGTCATTAAAGAGTCCCTAAAAATGAGAAATAATGGCTTTGAAATGACAGAGCTCCATTCTTTAAGGACCCATGGGTGTATGCTATCTGGTCCAGGTGCTTTATTCATCTTTATTTCTGTCTAAATATTTCTGGTTCATATCAGTTGTGAGCCAATGTGGATCATCTGGAGCGATGTCAACACCATGCCCATTATGGACAAGAGCTCCCCCATGCTTCTTTGTATATACAGAGCTGAAGAAGGTATTTAATAAACTTGCCTTCTCTTTGTCCCCAGTCACCCAATCTAGATTATTTTGTAAAGGGCCTACATGCTCGGACTGGACCTTATTACTATTACTATATCTGAAGAATTTATTGGGGTTGGTCCTGCTGTCTTTTGCAATCTGTCGTTCGTTTTCAATTTTTGCGGCCTTTATTTCCTTTTTGCATATTCTGTTATATGCTTTGTAACATTTAAATGATGATAGCGTTCTTTCATTTTTATATTTAATAAAAGCTCTTTTCTTATTATTTATAGCTTTTTTAGCTTTGGTCGTAAGCCACATAGGTTGATTTTTAGCGTTTTAAACTTGTTGCCCATGGGCATATATTTTGCAGTGTGTTCACATACAGTCTTTTTGAAGAACTCCCATTTCTGTGTTGTGTTCATCAATGCCAATATTCCCTCCCAGTCTAAGTCTTGGAGAGCAGCTCTCAGCCTTGAAAAATTAGCACTCAAAGTTGAGCGTTTTTATATCTCCAGTGTGTGCTTGATGTTTACAGCTAACAATAGAGGAAATCATGTTATGGTCACTGCTACCCAGATGTTTTTTTATGTGGACATTCATAATAAGCTCTGCATGGTTTGAGATTACTAGGCCCAGCAGAGCATCATTCCTAGTTGGGGCCTTAATGAACTGTACTATAAAATTGTCCTGTAGTAGGTTTATACATTTTTGCCCTTTAACTGTTCCTGCAGTACCATTACTCCAGTCAATTTCTGGGTAGTTAAAATCCCCAATTATTATCACTATCCCAGCCCTTTCAACCTGTGCAAGGAGTCTCCACCTCCTCATTGACACTGGGAGGCCTATAAAAAAACTCCAATGATTACCTTTGTAGTACGCACCCCCCATGTGCAGTTCCACCCATAATGCTTCAGCCTCATCATATCTCCATCAACTAGGTCCTCTTTCACACTCGCTCTGAGATCACTTCTCACATAGAGATAGATACCACCACCTTTCCTTTTTACCTTGTCTCTCCGAAAGAGAACATAGCCAGGAATATTAATGGCCCAGTCATGTGAAGAATGAAGCCAAGATTCAGCAATACCAATTAAATTATAATTCTCTTCATGCACCAAAGCTTCCAACTCACCTATTTTGCTTGGCAGACTTCTGGCATTGGTAAACAAACACTTTAATCTATTGACACCTTGTGCACACGTATTTTGCATACTTTTTTATTTTCATACAAATGGTACCAATTCCAACGGTTCTTTGTAACATAGGAACCTTCTTATCTGCCATAGCCCTCCCTCCCTTTTAAAAAAGTTAAAGCTTCAAGCAAGACCCCCCAAAGAAGAAAATAAAAATTAAATTTTTTTTTTTTTGCCGTTTCCCCATTGGGTAACCATTTGCCAGTGATAGCAAAACCATAATTTTACAATTATCACCAAAAAGAAAGTAAGAATAATTTTTTCACTGGGGGCACCCAGTAACAGCTGTCTAAGGAGGACAGGAAATATTCCAAAAGGAGAGGAGGGTTTATAAATTTAACCTTCAAGACGGTTATATAGACCATAGATGGCCTATAAAAGTTTTTAATATTGTTACAAAAGCACATTACTGGCTATATTGTCTGTTACTTGCAGGTTAGTTTGCGCAATCTCCAAGGACCTTGAGAAAGGCAATCAAGCAAGTTTCTCAGCTACAGGGAAAAATATCCACTCCTAGAGCAACAACAAAACTTAGCGCATAGACCTTTTAAAATTCCTTTCAACTATTTAAAATGTTATACAGGAATCATTTTCCACAAAAACATTTGTATCATAAACTCATCTACTACTTTTGCATCTATGGCTGCACAGCATAGGAATATTGGTTTTCATTTTGAGGTCGCCTAATAATACCATAAGACAAAGTTTACATTAATATTACCTATGACAGGGCCGTTTTCTTTCTGCTTTGTTCTTGGCTTTGCAATTGTTTTATTCATTATTTGCAGAATGTCTTTTTTGGCCACTAAAAAAAAAAATTGAAAAAAGATTGTATATAGCCTGTAGGAAGAAACTTTCCATTTAACAGTAAGAATGCAAACAATCTTTCAATAGTAAGACTGAGATTTGGAAATATTATATATATATATATATATATATATATATATATATATATATATATATAGAGTATATATACAGAGAAGAACTATACTTAAAAGGTGAACTGCAAGCTAGGAGACAAAGTTATGCTAGCAGTATGTCCCATGCCACACTGCTCTTTTCATCTAGGGGATGATAAACAAGGTGAATTACTTACCATATTCCTTGTTCCAATGGCAACTGTTGCTCTTCTCTACTTTCTTACGATCCCTGGATGTGGATAAGCCCACTGTGTCGTCATATATAAAGCAGGACCAGTGGTCCTGCATTGTACATGATTCGGTTGGAAAGCTGTGACCAGTTTGGCAACAAAGAAACACAGCTTTGCAGACTGGTCATGCTGCATGGGAAAATCCTGAAAGTTTAGAATAAAGTTTTTCACCTTATTCCAATCTCCCTAGACAAAATGATCATTAGACCCTTGAAGCAGAGAGAAGGCACCATTGCAAAAGGAACCTTTTCTCCAGCCTATACTTCAGCTTTAAAGAACTATACACACAGTCTCAGTTGTACCCTTTAATTTTTGGTAAGAAAAGCAGTAGTTATACAACCTGCAAAGTCACGGACCCCAATATTAATGTGCCTTTCAATGTATATGGGTAATATACTGTGTCAGCAATGAATGTAAAATGAAGTCTATTAACATTAAAAAAAGAATATTAAACTTGGGCCATTTGTGTGAAGATTTTTTTAAGGTGTTTAGCACATTACATCTCCACTGTACCCAAAAAAATAACATACTAAAGAATAAGCATCACATAAAAGGGGATCATAGTACCCAGTATTATAAGACAGATATCAACATGCCATAGCCTTGAAATGGAACTAAAATTCTGTTGTAGCAAACAGTGAGCATGCAGGCTTTTTCTTGCAGGAGAGATTTGCAATGTCTCTTCTGCAATAAAATAAACCTAACTGCCAGCTCACTGTCTTCTCGGCGATGGAAACTGAGCTGTGCATGCGCAGGAATAACGTCATCCTGCACCACCCAATATAGACAGCCGAAGACTAGCGCACAGGAGAAGATGCTGGTGCCATTGAGGGATGGGAACCTTTTAGGGACAGGCAAGTATATCTCCCTTTACTTCTGCTAAATGAATCCAACCACACTCACATGTGCTCTCTATCCCTCCCCCATACCCACTTCATAAGATAATGAGTAATAAAGACAGAACATTAGGAGTCCACATTCAAAGTGGACTCCTAATTCCAACCACAGATTTCAAATTTTGAGGATTTTATTTTGAGGCACACTCCTGCCAGCATATATTCTTTTGTATTTGGGTAGTTCTGCAATATTCAGATGAAAAACTTAATGAATTGGATTTAATTTAAGCAATATGGATTTTCTTGTTTGCAAGAATAACCACCGAAATGTGATGCATTCATGAACCAGTGGGACAAAGTCATTTAGGATCTAATGTGAATATTAGTAGCAATTGATGATGATATTGTGGCACAAAAAAGTGTTAACTTTCTGTATGAAAAGCTGCAGCACCAGGGGTTAAAGCAATCCAGTTGTGGGAGAAACATGGAGGCAACAACTGCCAACCTCTCCTCCTAAAAATGCTAACTGCCTAAAGAAATTGGAACAATAAAGTTGAATTCCTTGAATAATTCAAAGAGCATACAAGCACTTACCACTTGCCTGCTGGATAGCTTCCATCACAATTTTTAAAGGTAACCCAGGGATTTTAATGTCTGCCTAAAGAAAGAGCAATTTATTTTTGTTTACTAAATATTAACAAAATATCCAAGCAGTGGTATAGAACCAGTTATATACAAACCTGCAAAGCTGTTATTCCCTTGCTGGTGCCAGCCATTTTAAAATCCATATCGCCAATGTAGTCTTCAATGCCCTAAAAAAAAAAAAAAATTACTTTTAATTTTAGCAATCAGTGACCTGCCAGTGTTAGAGGAAACGTTACCACCAGGTTAAAGCCAGAGCCACCACAAGGTTTAGGGGTGTCTATGGGAATGTTTGACCATTCTTCCAGAAGCGCATTTGTGAGGTCAGGCACTGATGTCGGACAAGAAGGCCTGGCTCACAGTCTCTGCTCTAATTCATCCCAAAGGTGTTCTATCAGGTTGAGGTCAGGACTCTGTGCAGGCCAGTCAAGTTCCTCCATCCCAAACTCACTCATCCACGTTGTTATGGATCTTGCTTTGTGCACTGGTGCGCAGTCATGTTGGAACAGGAAGGCCGTCCCCAAACTGTACCCACAAAGTTGGGAGCATGAAATTGTCCCAAATGTCTTGGTATGCTGACACCTTAAGAGTTCCCTTCACTGGAACTAAGGGGCCAAGCCCAACCCCTGAAAGTCAACCCCACACCATAATCCCCCCCACCAAACCCAGACACGTCCATCGAATTGCCAGACAGAAGCGTGATTCCTCACTCCACAGAACACGTCTCCACTGCTCTAGAGTCCAATGCCAGTTTGGAGGTCTTTAGCTATTGACTCTGCAGACAGTTGGCGACTTCTGCGCACTGTGCGCTTCAGCATGTGCTGACCCCGCTCTGTCATTTTACATGGCCTACCACTTCATGGCTGAATTGCTGTTCCCAGTTACTTCCACTTACAGTTGACCGTAGAATATCTAGTAGTACGGAAATTTCACGGATGGACTTACTGCACAGGTGGCAACCTATAATGGTACCACGCTTGAATTCACTGAGCTCCTGAGAGTGACCCATTCTTGCACAAATGTTTGTAGAAGCAGTCGGCATGCCTAGGTGCTTGATTTTATACACCTGTGGCCATTGAGGTGATCGGGACACCTGAATCAAATGATTTGGAAGGGTGTCCCAAGACTTTTGGCAATAAAGTGTGTATATACATTTGCAAGTACAGAAAAGTACACACACTGGGATATATACAGTGGGTATAGAAAAGAATCACCCCCCTTTAAAATAATCACATTTTGTTGCTTTGCAGCCTGAAATGAAGACAGACACAGTTTTTTGTTTTATCCAGCTCTATATACAACAACTTACAACATCCAAGTGAAAGATATAACATCCAACATCTCAGAAAAAAAAAAAAATCAAAAATAGAAACACTGAGTTGGAAAAAGGCTCATCCCCAGTTAGTAGAGATATATATCCCAACAGACTAAAGTTTGTAATTAAAGCAAAAGGCGATGCAACAAAATACTTACACAAGTGGGTGATCCAAAGCAAAAAAATGTGATTATTTTAAAAGGTTGGGGGGGGGGGGGTATTCTTTTTTATGCCTTGTGTGTGTAAGATTGTAAGATAGATAGATAGATCTATCATTTGTGTGATTGGTAAGAAAACATGCTATAAAAAGGAGATTCAATTTGTATGACACTAAAGTTAAATACTTCTAGAATAAGAAGAATCTAGTGAAAATGTCAGCATATTGAGACAAAAAGCAGTGGGAGTAAAAAGCAGAAAGTGTTGAGTAAACATTTAGAGAGCGTATAGATTCATACTAGTAGTTTCTTCTCAGATTCCCTTTTTTTGTGGGGTAAAGGTATAAGAGTTCATGAACTGAAAGTATGACTTTACACAGATTTAAAATGTCGGACATTTCGGTGCAAGAAAAACCACTTACCAATATATCTGTAAGTAATTTATAATCTTCAATTTCTCCATTGTCTGTACCATATTTTGTAACTAATCCAACTGCAACACCAGCAACGGGAGCAGAAATTGGAACACCTAAAAACAGAAAAGGATTAGTCAACAGTTTTAAACGTACTGTATAAATTACATGGATGTCAAATTGGAAGCAGCAGCTGTGTCTGTGTCAGCTGCTGCATCCCAACTGATATAAATGGGACTGCCTGCACGGGGACGCATGGAACACCTTTGCATCCCCAAGCAGGTAAACACAGTCTTGCACAGGCATACACTGTAGAATGATCTGTGTGAACAAGCCATTGTTGTTTTTGTTCATTTAGTTATTTTACAAACGTATTTATATTATTTTTATTCATTTGCTTTTTTTTTTTACAGCCCTATTGGGGGGCTTTGGCGAGATTTATGGATTTTTTTTGTCTCTTCTGAGACAGAGAAAGGGACTGAGCTCATTGGGTCCTCTGAGGCTCCCCTGCAGCAGCTGAAGCTAACAGGTAGGAGAGGAGAAGTTGGCAGCACTGTAGGGAAGGCAGCGGGGTTGGAGTTCTGGGGGTGGTGGAATTTTTAGCGGGATGGTGCAGGGTGAAGACCAAATCAGCAGGGAATACTGGGGCAGTGGAGGAACGAGAATTAATAGGCAAAACAGCAACAGCGGGGGGGGGGGGGGGGGGGGGGGGGTTCGAACATAGCAGGCAGGATGTGGGGGTGTCATTTTTTGTAGTTTGAGTTATTGAGCTCTACAAATAGTCTCAAGGGGGCAGCTGCACCATCTGTTGTAATAGGAGATGGCAAGGAGCTCATCAGTGATTACTGCATGCTTCTCCCATTTCCAGAGTCCATTTAGCCACACAAGTTTTAAACCTTCTGATTAAACTGCCACTTACAAAAGGACTGGACTCTGGCAAAGAAAAGACTGTACACCAGCCAAGGCTAAAACCCCCCAATACTACAAGCAAGAATCGTCCTTTTTTTTCCTCTCTCGTTCGCAGAGGGACAAAGGAAGTCTTAAACCTTTACAATGACAAAAAGCAGTTCAACTGAGGGGTGGGATTTAGCTCAATCAACAGGCTTACTGTAAACAGAACTGGGGGACTGTCCACAGCTTGAGGAGCCAGACAAGGGTTATGTCAGAAGCTGGCATTAGATGAGGTAGAAATATCTACCTCGTAGAACCTATTACAGCTGTAACCTGTACAGCTTATAAGGATTACTATAACACCCTCCATATCAATCCTGTTGAGCAGGAGAGGAAGAGCATTTAGATAAGGAAAGGCAAAGATCACTGGCCTCCGAAAGTGGATCCCTGTACCTAGGTACTCACCTATGCAGTTTGCTGTCAAAGGTCCAGGAATACCAGAGACCAAATAGAGAGACTTATGAATCCCTTGCTGATGACTGATCTAAGCCACCGCTGGGATATGGTCTGACTTAACCTGGATAGGATGATCCAATGCTAAAGGGACAGCCAAATCACCTGAAGCTCCAGGATGCTTATTGTGAGACATGACCAAGCCCCCTGCATGGACAAGATGCCCAGGATTCCTCTTTAACCTATAATGAGATTCCTCAATAAGACAGGCAAAAAGGACTTCCTCCAACTTCAGAGCTGGATTTCGGAGCCTCCAAGACAGGAATAGCCTTGTCCCTGTCATGAACTGAATCAGCCAGTACAGAGGCAGGATGCCTTTGTCCCACTGTGACAAAGCATTGCATTGCAGAGGTCTGAAGTGAAATTAAGCAAAAGGAACTGCCTTGAAATCTACCATCAGCCCCAAAAAATCCCATGGAAAAGCAGATAGCTGGCATTGCTTTTGGGCTGCAGAGTTCTAACTGGAAATCAGAGACTCTGAAGTTTCCCCTGGGGAAGAAACACTCTGGCTCGAGGTGTCCAGGACCAGATCCAAATTCCCCAAGTAATGGGTCAGTTCTTGTGATGATTTCTTAAGGTTCAGTATCCATCTGCACCAATGAATCATCTAGGACAGTCAGATATACATTGTTCAAAAGAACCCTGATTGACTAAGTTTCTCTCAGTTGGGATGCTATGAGGGTGCAACAAAGCCAACACCTTGGTGAACATCCAGTGTGCTGAAAAAAAGAATGACTGGCAGGGCCACAAACTAGTATTGTAGTGACATTAAAGCAAAGCTTAAAAAATGCTGATGTGTTGGAAAGAGAAGTATATGTATGTAAGGATCTCTGATATCCACAGACGCCACAAAGTCTCCATGGTGAAGGAGGCAATGGCAGATTTGGTTAATGCCATCTGGAATCTGTGGCCCTGAATGTAGATATTCAAGGTTTTAAGGTCCAAGGTAAGGTGAATGACAACTTTGGGATTGGGACAGTGAACAAAGTTGGAGTAAAAAAAGCTCTGGGACTGTTCTGGAGAGGGAACTGGATTTATGACGCCTTGGTCCCAAAAGACCCGAGTGATCCTGATGGAGATCTGCCAGTTTGTGATGACACAAGGGAAGGGAAAAGATGAGGAAGGGGCAGGGAACAAACCACCAGGGCCCTAGGACAATACCTCTTACACCCAAGCATCTGGAATGTAAAATGCCAAAGTTTCCACAAACCTGAGATCGAGAAAGTGGAAAAACGAAAGGGATATTTTTTTTGACAGTCAGACTGGCTGGTAACCTCCCAGCAGACGGTTTTTTAGGCTTCTTCCACTAAGAAATATAGGTAATTTTACCACCAGTAACAGCCTTGATGAGAAAAGGTGCTGTTCCTTAAAGAACACGCAGAACAAGCACTTTCTATAAGTCAGTTCCACTGTCCAGCCAAAGTGCTCCAAGCATATGCACTGAAAATTATGTGAGAAACAAGGCAGGATGCTTTCAGCATTCCATCACAGCTGAAATTTTATACCACAACCATACACACACACACACACACACACACACATTATATATATATATATATATATATATATATAATATATATACATACATACATACATACACACAGGACATAAAAAGTCTACACACCTGTTAAAATGTCAAGTTTTCGTGATATAAAAAAATGAGACAAAGAAATAATTTCAGAGCTTTTTCCACCTTTAATGTAGCCTATAAACTGTACAACTCAGTTGAACAACAAACTGAAATCTTTTAGGTGGAGGGAAGTAAAACTAAAATTATATGGTTGTACAAGTGTGCACACCCTTAAACTAACACTTTATTGAAGCATCTTTTGATTTTATTCCAGCACTCAGTCTTTTTGGGTATGAGCCTATCAGCATGGCACATCTTCACTTGGCCACTCTCCCTCACAAACACTCTCCAAATCTGTCAGATTGCGAGGGCATCTCCTGTGCACAGCCCTCCTCAGATCATCCCACAAATTTTCGATCGGATTCAGGTCTGGGCTCTAGCTGGGCCATTCCAAAACTTTAATCTTCTGGTGATGCCATTTCTTTGTTGATTTGGATGGATGTTTTGGGTCATTGTTGTGTAACGGACATGTAAGATTTATTGTAACGTGCATGTAAGATTTGAGTGAATAAAGATTTGATCAGTGGAAATATGGAATCATAAACCATAACAGGTTGAGTAGCTTAGATTAGGTCAGGCCCTTTCATTGCAAAGGTGTGTTCAGGAACAGACACTCATTCAAGTCCATCTCATTAAGGATGTATATTGAGCCCCTGGGCACTAGGGAATGAATAGAAGGTACAGACAGATGTCATGAATTGATCTGGGATACAGATGTGTATTTATACACAATTCCTTAATCATCATTTAGCATCAATTAGCATTAATTAGTCTAAAGCCCCGCCTCCTGGAGGTGACACCTTTGTGTGAATAAGATTATCACCTGCTGGGAAAACCTGCTTGGGAACTTGTTACAGCAGACAGGACAGCTAGGTTTATGCATTCATCAAAGGAGTATGTTTAATCTCTTATAAAAGCTAAAATATTAGTTGGAGAGATATGAACATGCTTCCTTTGTGCAGGGCAGGCTGTGCGCTTCATTTGCATATAAGAATCATATTTGTGGCTTGGGGAGGAAGCCAGGAAAATGTAGGGAATGGTTAGATGCCGCTGGATCGCGACAGTCGAACAGTGTTTGGTACCGTCGCGATCGGGCTGATGCGCTGGTGTCGGAAATCCAATCCCCGGCTTGGTATTCAGGCCAGTCTTGGCCCAATTGAACTTGGGCAGGTCCACGCACAGTACCTCTTGTAGGCGGGTCAGGACCATCTCCCCAGGATCGATTGGCCGAAGACTAATGTCCCGCCCATGTTCAAATCCCAATAAATTGAGTTCACGGACATTTGTGATTCGTACAGAGCTGGTTCGATTGACCAATGCATTGCTAAGTTTCTGGCTTGCTCCAGTCGCAGGGTAAAGTTTTATTCTGTCTTTTTATTCCCTTTTTATTTTATAGTAATAAGTCATTTGTGTGTCTTCTGATATATCTTTTGTATTTTCTGTAACTTTTTATATTTTGTACATATTTTATGCATTGCCCACTTTGGGAAATTAAATCTTAAAATTACTTAGTGAACTTCTGTGTATTTAAACACGTGCTCATATCTTCGGAGAGACTAGATCGGAGAGATTAGATTGGGTTAGATTGTATTGTATTTTAAACGCTCAGTTAAGCTCATTGCCAATCTGTATGCTACTGCACTGCGAGTGGGCAGGTTGCACTCAGATTGCAAAGGTAACAGATCTGCCAGACGGAGATCTGTGTGTGTGTGGGGTGTCTCAACAGACCTTTCTGCGGATAAACGGTTGGGTGGTGGCAGGCTACCTTTGTGGTGTGTCTGGTGCGGGGGAGTATGAGTGGAAGGGTGATTAACACCGGGGTTCAAGCTAGGATAGCTGGAGGGACTCTGGAAAGGTGTGTTATTACTAAGCTGGTCCCCACTTCTAATCAGTGCACCAGGTTGTATGTAAGATTCGTATCTGCCAGTGTGTGGTCGACCAGCTGGATTGGAGTGGAGTCTCCATCTGGTGGTGGCCAGAGGTAGTGCGGGCTGTGAAAGGGTATCACGGCTGGTCTTACATACGGTTTTAGATATTCAAGTGTAAGTCCCCTTTATTCCCCCTCTTTACCTCCCTGTCACGGCCGCACGTGCGCGTCTCGGTTAGCTAGTCGCTGTGGGCATGGCATGTGGGGGACCCATGACAGGGTGATCCTTGACAGTTATGCTGAAAGATGAAGTTCCTCTTCATGTTCATCTTTCTAGCAGAAGCCTGAAGGTTTTGTGCCATTATGGAATGGTATTTGAAACTGTTCATAATTCCCTCTACCTTGACGAAGGCTCCAGTTCCAGCTGAAGAAAAGCCAGCCACAAAGCCTGAGGCTGCCACCACCATGCTTCACTGTGGGTATGGTGTTCTTTTGTAGATGTGCAGTGTTTTTGCGAAAAACATATCTTTTGGAATTATGGCCAGAAAGTTCAACCTTGGTTTCATCAGACCATAACACATTTTCCCACATGCTTTTGGGAAACTTCAGATGTGTTTTTTGCAACATTTAGCCGGGCTTGGATGTTTTTCTTTGTACGAAAAGGCTTCCGTCTTGCCACTCTACCCCATAGCCTAGACATCTGAAGAATATGGGAGATTGTTGTCACATGTACCAAACAGCCAGTACTTGCCAGATATTTCTGCAGCTCCTTTAATGTTGCTGTAGGCTTCTTGGCAGCCTCTCAGGCCAGTTTCCTTCTCATCTTTTCATCAATTTTGTAGGGACGTCCAGTTCTTGGTAATGTCACTGTTGTGTCATATTTTCTCCACTTGATGATGACTGTCTTCACTGTGTTCCATGGTATATCTAATGCCTTAGAAATGCTTTTGTACCCTTCTCCTGACTGATACCTTTTAACAATGAGATCCCTCTAATGCTTTGGAAGCTCTCTGCGGACCATGGCTTTTGCTGTAGGATGTGACTAAGAAAATGTCAGGAAAGACCTACTAACACAGCTGAACTTTATTTGGGCTTAATCAGAGGCACTTTAAATGATGGCAGGTGTGTACTGACTCCTATTTAACATGATTTTGAATGCGATTGCTATATTCTGAACACAGCTACAGTTTGTTTTTCAATCGAGTTGTACAAGTTATAGGTCACATTAAAGGTCGAAAAAGTTCTGAAATTATTTATCTTTGTCTAATTTTTTTACATCACAGAAACCAGACATTTTACATTCCCTGTATATGTGTGTGTATAATATATCACTATATAAGCTCACCAGCTCTTAATTCCCTTGACTTCTTTTTTAGAGGTATCATAAAGAAGGTGTACTTAATGAAAATCACAGATATGAATCACCTGAAGGAGAGCATCAGGAATGTGCTCAACTTGACTGAAATATGAAGTTACTGCATTGAGTTCATGTGAATCTTGCAAAGCGCATGGAGCCTTGCACCAAAAAAGGTGGAAATCACATTGAAGATGTAATTGATAAATATTCCAATGAAATAAAATGTTGAAAAATGTATTAAAATGTATTGAAAATATGCATTTTGCCTATGTGTCCAGATTTTTGGGACACCCTGTATCAACAGGGATGGGAGGAGCTTTTATGTTTTTTGGTTATCACCAACTCAAAAAACTAGTATAGTACAAAATAGTACAATATCCCTGAGAAAGTATCTATTGGATGCAACGCACCAGTTGGACAGGACTGTGACATCACCATGAACAGTGTTACACAATGAGAATCGGATTTTTACATGCTGTGCTGTAAGTGGATATTTTATCTCTTCAAGAAATAAGGGAAGCTGCTATGGAGAGTGCCTGGAGCTCTGTATTGTCTATTTTAAGGCGGTTTATGACCTTGTATACGCTATGAGATCCACCTAGGAAGGGGAGGATATAACATTTTTAATTTATGCTTATACTGTTATAAATGTACTTCAGAGATGTAGTTTCAATGTGATTCCTAAATAAAAGTCAATTTAAAAGGAACCACTTGCAGTATTACTTAGTGAAAGCCCACAAAAGGGCAGAAAGGAAATGTATGTGACCAACCAGCATGCCCTCATCTTTCAGCCACAGCAACATTACATTTACAAACCATGTAGTAGGTGTTGGATGAAGCCCATCTCCCCTATGAAGCAGTAGCTGTATGAACCTTCTGGAACCAAATAGCTTGATAGAAGTACATTTTTGATCAGATGTTAAAAGAGAAGTATGGGTTACAGTTTTTTTTTTTTTTCCAAAATCTGAATCCTGGTGAGCTGCTACTATGAAAAACAATTTTCTGCCCTCTGAAATGTACACCTTCTCTTCTGAAATCAAAGAAAATACCTGTGGGAGGGGCTGAGGTCTCTTATGCAGAGTCATGCCAACATTGACGTCGGTATCCCCCCCCCCCCCCCTTTGACTGACATCAGCTCCTGACAAGTCTGCATGCTCCCAGGATGTCAGCAGAGCTCTTCTCACCCCTCCAAATCAAGGCTGTTGAGTTACTTCACACACAGGCAGCTTCTCTCCGCCCTCCCATCAAGGTCATTCTGAGTCGAGTTCCTTACAGACATGCAGCTACTTTCTCTCTCCTCCTTCCCCCCCCCATCCAGGCTGAGCTCTCACAGCCAAACTTTTTCAGTTCTCTTTCTGCAGAGTAAAGCAGAGAAGAAGCTGAAGAACATTTTTTCAATCTTTTCTTGTACAGTACAGTCTCCTGGAGTTGCAAATCCTTCAGCATACTGTTATGTGCCTCTATTTCTTGCTGACAGTGTGAAGTCATGGAAGCAGAGGCACATGACAAGCAGACACGTTCCAGCTTGTGTCTGTGTGAGGAAAGCGCAGTCACAGCTGATAGCTGAAGGAGGAGAGGATGAGAAAGGCAGATCACTCCAGATGCAACCACACACTCCAAACTTTCAAAGCTGAAGAGGACCGTTACTCAACCTTAACCAGGGCTTGGAATGGGGATACAGCAAAAATGGAGCAACATAGGAAAGAAAGAAAAGCTTTTTGTGGTAAGGGTAGTTAATGCCATCTATTTGTACTACCCCATACTTCTCCTTTAAAACCATTAAAGAATTAAAAACTCTGGGACAGAGATGTGAAAGAAATGTCAACATGTAATTACCTGCATCCATTAAGGCCAAAGAGCCACCACATGCAGAAGCCATAGAGGAGGAGCCTGATGTGAATAAAATATATTAAAACAAGTCTTTGTGGCCATAGTGAATGTAAAAATACATAAATAGAAGCATTTAATAAAGTAAGAATTTGTCCATAAAGATTATTAAAGTGACACTAAACCTAAAAAGCATTTTTTTTACCTTAATGCATTGTTTGCATTAAGGCAAATAACATTTTTCATTTCCCTGTGCTCCCCTTTCCTGTGTAAAGAGGAAGAGAAGGGAGAAGAGATCAGTGCGCTGCAGGGCTACATCTCTACTCTCCTCGCCTCCTCTAGACACCGGGATTCTAACAGCAGCAGGAGCCATTGGTTATCGTTGCTGCCAATCAAATGCACTGAAGAGGAAGTGGAGGGGGGCCAAGTCCCGTTGTGTGTCTATGGAGTGTGGCTCCGTAGACACACTGGTTGAGAGCAAGCACACAGAGTGTGTTCCCTAGCAAATGGCTTGCTATGGAGACACACAAAGAAGAGGTGGAGCCAGGATTACAGGCAGGGGACCTGTGAAGAGAAGGATCAGGGCCACTCTGTGCAATAACATTGCACAAGGCAGGTCAGTATAACAAGTTAGTTATTTTTTAAAAAAAAAAAAAAAAATCTGCCCATAGAACACTTTAATTTAGAGCAAAGGAAAACCTTCATATTTACCTTTTGTGTGCAACCAATTTCCTATTCCTTCCCTGCACTTAAATCGCTTACTCTGATTTTTACTGCACACTGTTGGAGATTGTAATGTCATTCGTCTGCCTCAGCCAATCAGAGGACGCTTTGCATTCATTCATAAAATACAAAGCTCACTGTGGATGGCTGAGCAGCGCTCAGTCCAACTCAATTTTGTTCCAGGAGTTGGATGGGAAGTTCTAGTCCCTTTCCCAGAACACAGCAATTATGCAACTGAGGCTACATAGAGTTTATACAATGCACAACATGGCCTCTGCATCTGTTAGCAAAGTCAATAGTTAATTTGCACCACTTTGGTCCAAACAATCTATTTAAACTTTGCAAAAAGCTGGAAATCAGCTTTAACACTGTATAAGAATGTCACCATTATCACGTTTTGGTCATATGCCTGTGATGAAAACCACCTACCTCCCCTCACACCACCACCACTGCTCAATTTTTTCACCCTTCTTAAAAAAAGAAAAAAAAAAAAAAAAAAAAAAAAAAAAAAAAAGCTTCTGCTGGCATACTACAGATCCCGCTGCGATCTGTATATACTGAAGGAAAACAGATTCCCACTGTGACCACCCTCCTGTGCCCAGAATCAATGTTTCTTTCTCCTTTTTATGTCACTTACCATTTGACTCTAACACTTCAGAAGTCACTCTTATTGTGAAGGGAAAATCCTTTGGAAGGACCGGTTTTAGCGCTTTTTCCGCAAGAGCACCTATGTACAAAACAATATCAAATAATGTTATTTTTGCTGAGCAACATAAAAATGCTGAACTGTATGATAAATCCATGGGAGCAGCAAAACAGCACCTTCTCAAGACATGGGTCAATTGGTGGAAAGGTAGGTGTATTTAGTCTTCTTTTAGCATGTATGCTTTTTGACATAAGTGACCTTGTGCTGACAGGTTACTTTAACCCTTTTGATGCCTTTTCTTTTATCAGGCATATTTTAGGCCTGAAGATTAGGTAAAACTTCCAAACATTATTTATGTTCTGAAAACAGACTAATGGTGGTAGTTACAATTTATGTCATACCCTATTAGTGCAACGGCTGATCAAACACAAATTTTCAGTAAAAAAAAAAATACATTGAAGTTAATTTTAGTGTACAGAGTCGCTATATACTTCCCAAATTTTGGTATATTATAAAACATGAGGTTGTGCTAAGTAAACAGATACCAAACATGTCAATCGTTAAAATGGCGAGCACCCATGAATTGGAGACAAACTTCGGTACAGAACATTTTCCACAGGAGATACTTTAAAAGCCTTTATAGATCATCAGTTCAAGTTATACAAGTGACACATGTTAAAGTGATACTAAAGACCCACATTTTACCTAAAATACAAAAAGAGGCCTATACTTACCTGCTCTGTTCAAGGATATTGCCCTTCCCTCATCTTCTGGCACCCCCCCTGCCGGCACTGTCTGCACCTCCTCTCCCGAGCGCAATGGGGGCACATGTGAAGACATGCTCCTGACCTGTACTGTGTGCATCCATAAACACACACACAGCGTGGCCTGGCCTTGCCCCCGCTCCTCCCTCACTGATTTTGACTGAAAGCGGACAGACACACCGCTGGGATCAAGAAATTGTTCATTCAAGTACTTGGGATGGGTGGGGGGGGGCGTTGGAACAGGTAGTGGAAGGTTTTTTACCTTAATGCAGTGAATGCATTAAGGTAAAATATTTTTTAACTTCAGAACAACTTTAACCATAAATGATGGCCCTAGAATTCTTGCTCCCCCATTCTGGCATGCATGGTGACATGTAATATGTGTAGCGTAATCAACATTGTTATGTAGGCGCCCTCGGCGTGTGCGTGCATTTTGGTTCATATATGTATGTGCAGGTACATGGGGTGGAAAGGGGATGCTCTAAATTGTTTGGAGGGGGGGATTAAATGCGTCACATAGGTGGCTGTCCAGCAGTTTGCCGTTGCAGATTCACTTTACTGAGACATCCAGGGTCTATTAGACCTTGGATGTCTCCCCTACCCTCCACCGAAGCTAATGAGCACATGTGCCCAGCCACTGGTGAAGTTGCTTCATGATTCTTAATAGCTACTGAAGGATCAGCAAATGAATGTTACTTGATCTCAATATCAACACTTGCCATGTGAGTCCCGATCATATTTATCTGAAAGCAGACAGTAAATTTGTGAGGTATACATGCATTTTAAAAACCTCTGCTGCTGAGGATGTAATTGCTCACTCCTAAAAGATAACGAAACCAAAATATATCTAAAATGAAGAACAAAACAGTAATACATTGCAGTTTACTAACACTTCGATGTGGTGGCGGCATTGCTTTTCCTTTTTCATGCCAAAAATATTTTCAGCATGTGCAGAAAAAAAAAAACATGGCTCTTGCAAAAACAAAAAAAAAAAAATTCCAGTACCCTTATATTTGACTGTGGGCTGAACTGAAAGCACAATGTAATCTGTCATCCTAATTAGCCAACCAACCAATCCCACCTCCCCACTGTAATAGAGATGAAGAGAGTTCAGACTAGGTGACAACCATGGCTCCCCCTACAAATACAATGGAGGAGCAAGCATAGCCACCCAGGGACAGGAAGAGTGTTATTTGCAGGATTACCAGGTGAAAATAATGTAATAAAGACTGACAAAAAAGAAAATGAATGCAGCCTTATAATCTGAGAATTAGTAAGCTGCAATGCATGAAATTGTTTTTTTTTGGGTTTACATGGTTAAATTACATTGGTGGTGAAGAAAAGTGAATTAAATGACAAATAAATGAAGACACCATGGCCTAACAGTACTAACTCTAAACTGACATGCAAATTCCAAGTTGCAAAAGCTGGAGAGCCAATACCAGCGACTATCAGGATGATCAGGGACAATACAGTGTAGAATGTGGAGTTGTGGTCACACGTAAAACTTCCACTAACTGTGATAACTTCTATGTCACATTTGCAGAGCTCTGGGGCACTCCTCTTGTGAAGTGCATATTGTAAGCATTTTTGTATGGTAACCTTTGTGTGTGTCTGTATGTTTTTGACATTTTCGTACATTTTTTATCTAATGGCAGTGAGATTCTGAAAGTAACTCTCAGTATAGAGAAATCCATATATAAATCTTACCATGGCCCAGCTCTCTCCTATTCATCCCCACCTTGCCAATCTCATTTGTTGCGTAAGGAGGAAACTGAAATACAAACATATTTATGTTATCAAACAGATATACAGATAAAAACACAGTTTTTCAAACTGACAGGAATTACATTTTTTGAATCACAAGAAAACAAACCATTGAACAAGAATGTTAAGGATTATTGGGCTTATTTATTAAATAAAAGTGCACTGAATAGGCAAAAGCGTGTTATTTAACAATAGCTGGTCAAATTCCACAATTCATATCATGAAAGATTAAATCTAACTGATGGATTAAAACTCATACAACTTTTAAGTCTGCATTCATTCAATATGCGATGTACAATAACCAAGTTTAGAACCGTCATATCAGTTAAAGTCATAGTAAACCGTTGAAATTAAAAAAGAACTAAGCATATTCTTCTAGAATGTGTATTAGCCTCAATCCAAAGCACTAAGTGTGATTGCTATCTATCATTAGTCACTTCAGATTTTTGCTCTGTTTTGCCAATGTCACAAAATCCGGATGGAAAAAAAAAAAAAAAAAAAAAAAACCCCCACACAGGTGAGTGACATCCTCAGCTGTGCATGTTTCCTTATGACACTGTGTAGATGGGGAGTGTGTCCATTTCCTCCACTCAGGTGTCAGATTACACTCAGCTTCCTGCTCTATGCTTTGCAGTGTGTAACATCAAATCCCTGCCTCCTTGAGCTAAGAAATGTGTAAAATGTGTGCTTTAGCAGGCTGTAGAGGAGAGAAGCCTGCCAAGAAACAGGCACAACCCATGTGAGGATTTATTTCATCTCTGTTTATCACCTGAGGCTAGTCACTTCAATGGGTATATGTAAGGGTTGACAAACCACTTAAATGGAGAGTTTTGAGAAGTTAACATAAAGATACTTTACTTTGGTTATCACTCTTGCTCTTTGCACTGCCTTAGTGAACCAGCTGGTATGTACCCAAAAGTGAATGGCCATTTTGGCTAGATCAGGCAAATTTCATTACCTTTCTGGGCAACAGCTCATAACCAAGGCCCATTAGTGGTGGCAGTGCGGTGGGGGCAGTTGATCAGCCTAGCTGGCCTATTTTTTATAACCAATCACTAATGTCACCCATGAGATAACTGATGGTATGTCTGCTCTATCTCCTCTGCTGCATCAACATGCACACTTTGGCAGGCTGATGCAATGGAAATTTTATTAAAAAATAAAATTGTTCGGCAGTCAAAGTATTGCCCAACTATCACCAGCATTAATTATTTAGCCTTCAATAATAAAGAGGCAGAACTAAGACCAGTAGCCAAAAATATCACCATTGCACTTAACCCCACTGAACTAACACATTGCTGTGGATGTGCATGGAATAGAAGTTTAATATGGTGACAATACTGTGGTTTGGACGTGGTTCACTACAAGTCAGGCCATCTTGCAAGCTTACCTCATAATGAAGCATAAAGTTCTTGTCTTTCAAACCACTGGGGAAAATATAATGGAATATATTACATGAAAACTATTTGCATCAATTCAGTTCACTACAAATGTTTCCAAGACATGTATGATTCATGACAATTATTAGACCGAAGTGTGTTTCCTTTTAAAATATAACATGAAATAGATGCATTTTGTACAGCTTGTGAACACCCACTCGCCCCATTTCCAGCAATTACAGAACAATCTCACATTTATCATGCTAAAAACAACAGAAGCCCTCAGTTTAAATGTCAAGTGTATGAGTCGTTCTCATTGAAATTTGTCATCAGTTATTCTCAGGCTTTGTGCTGATAACAGTATTTTAATATTAACAGCCATTCTCCAGCCAAAAGGTATATAATAAATATATGGGATACAAAAGGTGGATTAACCGGTGGTAGATGTTTAATTTTGAAAACACAAAATCTAGGGCACATTATCTAACCTTGTAGGGAGAGCACACACATATTCACAGTCTTTATTTTTAAGAAAGCAAAAGGCAAAAAAAAAAAAAAATGTATTCTATCATTTTGGACAGAGTAAGGGAGGGTTATAACTCCTGTCAGGTTTTTTTTTGCCATTTAAGTCCCATTGCAGAGATTTCCCTTCACAACTCAACCTAAAATTTGGGATTTCTTTCACTTTCAATCTCAGTCTTATTTGTTAACAGGACAAAGAGAGGGTGAATCTTATGAATGAGGCACAGATAGAAGTAAAAGCCTGACAGGTGTTTTAATCCTGCTTTATTCTATCCATAATGAATAAAAGCCGTGGTTCTGTGTGTAAATTGACACAGAGTAGCAGCTCGGGAGTATGCCTGCTTGGGTGACACCACAGCAGGATGGAGGGGCCAGGAGCGCTGGCGGGGGGACCCTAGAAGAGGAGGATCGGGGCTGCTCTGTGCAAAACCACTACACTGAGCAGGTAAATATGATTGTATGTTTGGTATTTTTTTAAAAATGCAGGGGAATACAAGTATGTACTTGCTAGGCACTAGGGGGTGAAGTTACCATGAGGGAGGGGGCACAGAAAAATTAGATTTATGCACCCATAAACTGTCTCTAAGAGGACTATAGCAAATTATTTCTTTTGCTAGAGTGTAGTAAGGGTTCATACATAATCTTAGACCATGTTACTTTTCTCTGTTATTTAGACACCTGCAATTATATATTTCCCTCCACACTTTGTCTTTAGAGATACCCTTGGCAACTTGATATTGATTTCCCAACTTGATTATGGACTCATTGACACGACCAGCTGCCGATGTGTGATGTGAAGGGAATGAGAGGATGTCACAAACAGCATGCTTTATTTTTTGTTTCCAAAAACATAGAAACATAACATTTCATTAATCTTTTTCCACTGTAGAGGGTTGTGAGGCGGTGTACTGCATTGTAACATGCTGCACTGAAAACAAAAAAAATATACTGCATGTTCACCTTTGTTGCAGCACAGTGGTCAGAATAGGCCTCAAAGTGAGGGCAGGAGGATTGAAAAGGGGATGGCATTAGAAAACCGTGAATGACCACTCCTCTAGGACAAACAAATATTGCAGCTTCAGTATATGCCCACACGTTGAAGTGAAAGAAGGAAACACATAAAAGAAAAAAATAATGGTTTTCGGTCAGTTATTTATTTTTTAACAAATTCCAAGTTTATAATTTTATTCCACCAATTTATAAGGTGTGTCCATTAAAAAATCCATCCAGTGTGTAAAGCACGAGCCTTCTCATATGAAACAAGTGCCTGCATGCTTGTTGACTGCCTGTGTGTAAATAAGCAACTAAGGATGGCCATAGGTTGTTTTCCCCCCCCCCCCCATTCAGCCAGAAGGGTGATCAGAAAAAAAAAAAAAAAAAAAAAAAAAAAAAAAAAAAAAAAGGATTCCCATAACCATGCAAACAAGGTGGATGGAGGAGCTCTCCCCACTGTGCTATTTTATTCTGAGAGCGGGGACTCCTCCACTGTCAGAATACACAAATCGGTGCTGCAGGCGATTGGCTGCAGCCCGCTGATCAAGCACAAATTTTCCTACAGTTCAGTAACACCCCGCCAATACTGTATAAAATATCAGCAGACCCAAAGAGATGTCAACTTAAACATACCTTAACGCTGTTGTTATGTGATCAACTTTCAGGCTGGATTCTATGGAATCAAATGTAACTGTACACAAAACCTAAGAAAAAGGATCATCAAGGAGGAGTAAAATAATTATCACACAATCATCAATGTAGGAATATACAGTACAGCCACAGTCTACTTTTTTCTATGTATGCTTTACAGTTCATGCGTTGTCAATAGATTAAGAGCCTGTTCACACCCCTTGTGGTGCAGAAAACACACAAAAAAAAACAAAAAAAACTGCTCTTTGGGGCACCCCAAACACATCTAGCAAATGCATGCATTTCCATCTACCAAAATGTATGGTACAGCAGCTGCATGCAGTTTTGTGCAGCGTCATTTTACAAGTCATTCCTGCTGTACTTTTTCAGTGGGGGTTGCTTGCTTGGCATGAGCTCTGTTCAGAGGACGCTTCTCATTTTTTCTATGAATGCCAAGTGTTCTGATTTGACAAGGTGGAGAGGTGGGATGATGACATCATAATTTCCACCTCATCCAGAGAATGCTTTGCATTCATTAAAGTGGTTCTAAAGTTTCATGCATTTTATGCACAAAGGTAAAAAACCTTTGTGCAGCAGCCCCAGCCCCCATAACACACTTACCTGAGCCCCCTCTTGATCCATCAATGTCCATGAGAGCCTCAGTTCTCCAGGGCTCTCACTCCTGATTGGCTGAGGCAGCCAATGGCTCCAGCTGCTGTAAAGCAGGAGAGGGAGGGGGTGGAGCAGATTCTGAACGCTGTGTGTGAATGGACATGAAGAACAGCGGCTCGGGAGTGTACCTTCTCGGGAGCCCCTATAGTAAGCTCCCTCCCAACAGCAGGCAAGAGCCAGGGGTACTGGTGGGGAAGAGGAGGATCTGGGCTGCTCTGTGCAAAACCACTACACAGAGCATGTAAGTATTACATATTTGTTATTTAAAAAAAACACAACAAAAAAAACAAAACAAGACTTTAGTATCACTTTAAAAGAAAGCAAAGTGTTCTCTGAATGGCACCCATACCAAGTGAGCGATCTTCTGTACTCACCAAGCAATGTTATGCAAATAATTGCATACCTAAAACTTAATCTTTAAGATTCTCCCACTTTTTTCATATATTATGTCAGAGGTTCATATTGCTTTGCTAAAATTGATCAAAGCAGATATTTAATCTCACGATGCATTGCTATGTTATTTGTTATGGAGGAATAGTCGTTTAACCACATCTATCTACTATTCTGACATTCCTGTTAAAAAAAAAAAAAAAAAAAAAAATGCAGATTTTACATGTAATCGAAAAATTGCCTAGACCCACAAACATTATATATTTTCTGAAAGTAAACGTTCTGGAGAATTTTTTATGTCACATGATATTTGCGCCGCGGTTTATCAAATGCAAATTTTCAGGAAATATACTGAATTTCCTTGGGTTTAATATTGGCAACCTTTGCATAAAAATTTTGGAAAGTTCTGGACGCTTTGGTAAATGCAGCCCATGGGCTGTACACACTGTACTATACAGATAATGTGTCCTTCCAAGAAAAGAAACAGCACAACAACCCTGGCAAACAAAGAAGTTATACTGGTACCTGTGTTTGGCCACGCTGGAATAATGCAGAGCCATGGAGAGGTTTAAAAAGATCCACTTCACAACTGATATTTCGGAGTGATGTAAGATCTCGGCCATCACATCTTTCATTGAAAAGAGAGAGAAAATATTACAAGGCAATATTTGTCATCTGTCTGAATGAAGAGCTTATAGAAGTCAGGCACAATACCTTCTGCATTCAGTCAAAACTTTGTTTCTGAAAACTTCTTTGGACACGGTGCTGAAAGACTCCATTATTTCAAATGGATCCGCTTCCGGGAATTTTTCTATAAAGCAAACACTGGCTGCTTGTTAAGCAGTAAACCGTGCAGTAATTGAGATTCAAATTAAAGGAAAACTACACTGGTTTTGAGTCACAATATATAATTTTAAGCACTGTATATAAGTTTTTGGGCCCATGCACAATGGCATAAGGCCTTGTTCTCATTACATTACATGCATGCATGCTCAGTGCAGGGCCGTGTTTTACCAGCAAAGGGATGCACAGGCGTTGAGTTTGGGGACCCACATGCACACACATGGGTGTGATATTGGGACACAGGAGCTGTGTCAATGCAGCCGCAGTATCTCAACAGACAATGGGACTGCCGTCATGGAATTCATGCAATACTGTGCATCCGTGTACCACAGGGCACGCATGTAATCACCCAGTGTAAACTAGGCCTGAATGAATACTCAGAAATGCTGATCTTGCTGCCAGAAACAATATCCAGTGCAAAAAACACACATAAAAGTATGCATGTATGTACAGTGTTTAGAACTGCACATATTTAAATTAATTTTAGTGCCTAGAATGTTCATTTAATTATAGCCACCAGAATGAATTTATGTACATTAAAATAAAAAAAAAAAGCCTTTTCCTGAATGTGGGACTTTCATTCCCTTTTACATCTCTGAACACAGCTCTAGTAAACGAAGCTTAATGCCTCCAAGTGCAAGGACAAGCAGAGCTGCGCTCAGATCCATAAAAAACTATTTTAAAAATGCTGTTTGGATTTAAAGGCAAGATTTTTGGCATCTACTTGCATGAGGACATAATGTCAGATTTTATATGCATTTTATTATTGCTTTTTATCGGTGTTTACCAACATTAAATGCAGGAAAATGGATTACCAGACAGCTCCAAGTTTCTATAGAGAAAACACAGCTAGCCTTCTCTTTTCTCTCAATGAAATCTCAAAAGCTGGACTGTGGGAGAAAATGGAGTCTGACTCAATCACGTCTGTGTGAACATTTCAGCTTGAGCTATTGAGCTATGTAAAGCAGACTGGTTTATTACAGCACTGGTAGGTAATTTTAACCAATTTATGAACTTCAATTTTTTGGGTTTTTTTTCTTTTCTTTTTAGTTCTGGCTAAAATAAAGAGATGGTACTCAAAGCCAATACACATTCCCTGAAAAGCTGGGGAGAAAAAAAAAAGGTTTATGCATGCACCATGGGTGCTCAACCTGTGGCCCTTGGAGCCCTATGATGTGGGCCTCAACCTCAAAACAGGGAAGTGCATGCCCGAGGTCAGCAACCTTTTGATTGTGATCTGGATCCCAGAGCAACAGAGTGCATTGAGGCGGCTCTGGCAGTGGAGGAAACAGGCGGCCATGGGGAGAGCAGAAGCCACATAAGCCGATGCTTTCTCTGTAGCGCTGACTGCTGTCCCACACAGACTGACACAAAGTACACTTCGCCTGGGATCTTTCTAGCAGCCTGGACAGCGATGCCAGCAAAGCTGGAAGAGGAAGAGGTCAGTGTATGAAAACACATACACTGTGCTTTTGCAATGGACATATTAGGGCCTATAAAATGGGTTAACTACTAGGCTGCTTTCACACTGATCCAGGGGTGCAGGGCTGTGTACCTTCAGGTTTCCTGCAAATTAGCTGCTGAGCCATATACTTCTATTATATTCTGTGGGTTTCGTGTGCTTTCAGAAAGTGCACCACACCCACAAGATGTAATAGAAGTCTATGGCAAAGTGCAAACACTGCAGGAAGGCCGCATGTGCACTGCGCTGCACCAGAGGTGCGTGTAAACTGCACCGCATCAGTGGGAAAGCAGTTTTAGAGGGCTCAGGACAGTAAGGGCTCATTTACATTTGTGGTTTGGGGGGTGGTAAATCCCCATAGCTGAGACATGTATTTACCACAACCCCATCCCAGCCCCATCAACAACTGGTGTAGCATTGACAAGAGAAGCTCCATGTTTTTTTAGCGCAGGTTCCATTAATCAAATTCCAGCATATCACCCGTGAACCTGTTTAAACTTCAACAAAACCACAAAACACGAACGGTTAGTGGTGTGTATATGTCAGTGAATGCCGCAATTGTAAATGTTAATTGAAGAACATTTGCGGATCTAATTATACCTCTTAAAACCTCTTCAGTTTCAAGTCTGATCGCCTTCACAGATTCATCTCTAGAGATCTTGGATAAAGATAAAATATACATTAACATTCTACACAGTAAATATATAACCTGCTTAAACTTTAAAGTGGAACTAAACTTTAAACAGTAACTCCACTTTTGTAGGAAAAAAAAAACCTTCCACTCTGGGTGATCTACGTACATTGCAGGGATTTTAAACTGTAGCAGACAAATTCCTACCTTTGTTATTTTGAAGAAATAGCAGTTTGTTTGTCCATGTACAAAGCAGATACTAATGGAAGTGGCTTTATAATTATCAGTTACAGGGTTCTAATGAGGAAAATGGCAGGATATGCATCCCTTTAGACGTGATTTCCCTTTGGGAGTATTTCACCAAAAATAAAACTTTAGTTGCAGAGGATACCTTAAAATCTGACTTGTAACAGTGCAAGCTTCTGAGAAAATCAGTGAGCCAATCACGCAAACAGGAAATGACGTTTCTAGGAGGCGTTCTGTACACCATCTCTGTACAGAAAGCCCCAGGTTGCCATATTGCATTGTATTTTACAGAAAAGTATATCACTGCAGAGTGGAAAGGAATGGTCACCTTTTAATAAGCCTTTAAATTAAAAAAAAAAAAAAAAAAAAACTGAGCAGGCAGCTCTTTTTGGCAGAAGTGGTGTGTGCTAACTCTTCTGCAAAAAAAAAAAAAAAAAAAAAAAAAAAAACACACAAAAAAAACCCCAAAAAAACACTTACCTGCCTTCGGCAGCCTTCTATTGAGCATACACTAAGAAGCACCTCTATCCAAGTATCAGTCCACAGACTAACAGCAAGTATGAGTGCCTCTGCTATGCTGACAGCAGCGTTCTGTAGAGATGAGCTCAGGCATCCTCCGAACTCATCTCTAGCCGAACTACAAACTTACACTCTTCTTTACCACAATGAACTGTGGGTTGGTTCATTCCCTTTAAGAGCAAAAATATATACACACGAATGACTTTCCCCAGTGAGGACACTGTAATAAAAACCTGCCAGATGTTCCAACCCTCTGCACTATCCAAAACTAAGAACACACACACACACAAAACACACAAATCTGGAAAGCATTGAAAAGGATGAAAAGGAGCATAGAGCTTCCCCCAGTGATATGAAAATACAAAATATTCATGCGCACTAGTTCTTATTTACCTGACCAAGAAAAAAATATAAATTTTAACTAAATATATATATTTTTTTTAGCCCTGAGCAGAATAAATGTCTAATTATAAACCCAAAGAACCCCCAGTGGGACTTTAATGCAGCAATAGGATAATACATATATTGAAAGAGACATTTTATTAAGAGATTTTTATCAACTTTATTACATACACATTTCCATTGTAATATTAAATACATAGTTTCTAAAAAGAATATTGCTCTGACAGTGTTCTTAGAAGAGAACTCTTAATACAAGAATATGAAACCACACACACAAAAAAAAAAAAAAGAAAATACCCCGACGTGTTTCGATCATTCCACATTCTAGATCTTCCTCAGGGAGCATGAGAGACAAAAGGCTTTAAAAACATATGTCAGAGCAAAAGAAGGGGATGACTTCCAAGATGGGAGGCTGGCCACCATTTTCCGGTGGGGTGCATCATCCAAGAGGGCAAGGGTGGTCAGATGTAAGTCACCAGACAACAAGGACTAACAGAGGGGCACCAAACAAAACATCCCCCCAATGGGACACGTCTGAAGCAGGCCAATGTATGGAAGAGATAGAATTTCACTCTGTAATGGATGTAACAACTCAAGGAAATAGAGTAGTAAATTTGAAATATTAATTTCTCCAAGTATGTCAAATCCCATGGAACAAAGACCAAAGTGACATGCAAGAAAAGTCTGCAAGGATGCACAAAAAAAAAAAAAAAAATCCACAAAATCCCAAATCATCAGAGTGATGCACAGCCAGCCTGTGTCCTAGGTCTGGAGTGGCGGGTGAATGGGAGCATGTGGAATGATCAAAACGCATCGGGGTATTTTCTTTTTTCTGTGTGGTTTCATATTCTTGTGTTAGGAGTTCTCTTGTAAGAACACTGTCAGAGCAACATTCTTTTTAGAAATTATGTATTTAATATTACAATGGAAATGTGTATGGAATAAAATTGTTAAAAATCTCTTAACAAAATGTCTCTTTCAATATATGTATGATCCTATTGTTGCATTAAAGTCCCACTGGGGTTTCTTTGGGTATATACATTCATATAGGGACAAGCAGCCAGATACTCGACCTTTTTATTTATAATAAATGTCTAATTAAAATCCATACATTCTCTTTAACGGAGTTACAGATGTACAGTATATCCATCAACTTTCAAATAAAAGCTTCAGTTTTCATAATTTTGCTTACTTTGTCATGGGTATAATCAGAAAACACTGCTAAAAGTTTCTCAGATGCAAGCCTAAAAAAAAAAAAAAAAAAATTTTTAGAAAAAAAGTAAAAATAACTTACATTGTATGCAATGCGCTAGGCATGTTTGTCTATCAAAATACTGAAGTGCTATGTGAAAAAAAAAAATTGTGTTAATCCTGAGACGAAATCATGAAGATACATTTAGGCCCCATTCACACAGCCATTCTGACCAGGTCTGCCTGTCAGTTTTTTTTTTCAGGTGGACTTGATTGGACTCTCCATCCACCCCTATCACCCTGGTGTAAACAGACATATTTACACAACCTACCTTTAAGTTGATAAAAAAAAAAAAAAAAAAACACACAGGAGGGGATCTCGCCTCTGTCTAGGCAGATCAGATTGGACAGCAGTTGGTGTAAGTGGACAGCTGAGTCCATTTACTCAAGGCCACCCAAAGAGCAGAGTGGGCTCTGTCTGTATCTGCTCTGCATAATCTGAGCGGACACAAATGTGACATCCACCAGTTCTGCTCTGAGCAGCAGATCTGTCTGCTGACCCATGTGAAAGGGACCTTCTACTCAACTAAGAACAAAACAAACATAACATAAATTGCCACAAACAACAAATTAATACATACAATAACATGAACTAAAATACAACAAAACAAGAAAATAAAAACACAACATACAAGTGAAGCCATCGTAAAATTGCTATAAACAATCAGTTCAGGATACATAAATGGCTCAAGTGCAAAAACTGACTTTTTCAGATGGCTCCATCCACTAAAATTAAATGAGTATAAAAAAAAAAAAAAAAAAAGCCTTTCTGGATATGTGATGGAAGGCACATGCATTTATGTGTGTTTAGAAATGTCCTCCAAATGCCTATAAATGTAGGTTTGATAGTGTCAGTGTGAATGAGATCTTACAGTTGCGGCTGTAGTATAGTCCTGATAGCGGGTCAATCACTCTCTTCAGCTGTTCAGAAAAAGTCTTAATTCTTTTTACCAACAAGGGGAGAATGTAATGTTCATCCGCACCTTCTTCATTCACAAAATGCCTTGTATGCAGTTAAAAGAATACAAGGTGTTTTCTGAATAGCTGAGGTGGAGTGTGAGTGAGCCACTATCAGAACTGTACTATAGCTACAAAACACAAGTCTCAGGGCAGGATGTCTGGAGCTTACAATACTGCACAGGCTAAATAAAAGTAAGCATTTTCCTGAACGCACAGCAGCCACACGTGGGACTGACACTTTCCCAATGGCTAACAGAATTTTATTTTTTATATATATATATATATATATATATATATATATATATATATATATATATATATATATATATATATATATATATATATATATATATATATATATATATATAAAATTTATTTTAACAGGCAACAATCTTGAACATTTTTTTTTAAATAGATAAATAAGAGCAATAAACTTTGTTTCTGGAATACGAGTAATAATGCACATTTTAATTTCCAACTGAAATAATAATGAAAAAAAAAAAAAAAAAAAAAAAAAAAAAAAAAAAAAAATCACAGAACAGTAGTAAAGCATAACTGAAGTTCCAGAAGTGAGCAAAAACGCGAGCAGGCAGATTTTTATTGCAGAAGGGACATGCACTGCCCCTATCTTACTGGTCGTTGTCTTCTCTGACTCTGTAAACTGAGCTGTGTATGTACAGCTCAGCTTACAGCATCAGGCCGGTCTGTGTGCCGGAATGATAACCTCCTGCGCATGAACAGGAGTGATGTCCTCCCATGCCAGCCAATGAAGACACCCGAAGACTGGCACACAGAAAAAAATTCCACCACCGGCAAGGGACCGTTGGAAAGGAGAGTATGAACCTCTTTAGTTCCTCTTTGAGCTCCAAGGGTGTTTTTCACTTCCGATATTCCTGAGACCAGTTACTTAATAAAAAACAGCTTTGCTATATGAACCAAGAAACATTTCAGCAGCATACAGTACAATCACATAATGTTAATATTCTGCATAAGGATTCATTTCATCTTACAGCTGATGTATGGTCTGTATATTACTCAGCTTTATCACATTTAATACAAATCAGCTGGCGATTTTCTTAAGGAAATCATGAGCGAAAGCTGGCAAAGATATCAACTATATACATTTTGAATGCCCGATTTTTACGGGGTAATAATTTACAGTACAGTGATCACAATTACTTAATAGGGAAAAATACCTTTTTACAACAAATCATGAAGCAAATCTAAATGAAGGCGTGTATTTATAAATGATTTGCAGAGCTATTCATTCTGTGAAACTGCATGTACATTCATTCTGTATGAATGGGGGCAAAATCAAAATTAACAAGGCTATTTTCTGTCCAGGATGAATGTAATTCATTCATATAGGAAAACACCACATTATAGCCACTAGAGTAGGGGTTCCTAACCTTTGAGTCCATGAACTCCTTTAGGGTCCATGGATGGGTTTCAGGAGGTCTGTGAGGGTCAGATAAAACAAAACAAAAAAAACCTATTTAAATTCACTATACAGCCCTTCCCTCTTGTCGTAATCAATGGTTTACCATTGCCACTACTTATAGGCCCATGTTTATTATTTAAATTTGTATCATTGCTCTCTGCACAACTGCTATCTTGTGTCACTCCATAATAAAAAAGTGCTAATTCACATTTTCTAGTAGTAGCAGAACATTTAAGCTGAATTAAAACCATTTTGTTTAATTTGCACAAGACTATTGAATTTAATTTTTATAATGAGCAGACATAAAACTCTTTCCATGAAAAGGAGCGCATTTCTTGATAAGATTGTTTACCAGAGGAGAAGCATTGTTATCCTAAGACAGGACGACAGAAAACCTGAACCTCTCCTCTTCTCTTCTCTATATTGTTGGGGGGGGGGGGGGTTTGTATTCCAGAGAACTGGGAACAAAGTAATTGAAAATACTGCAGCACAGGCTGAGACTACAGAGAAAGTTGTTAGCTCACTGGATTTCTGGCGGGATTAGCAGGAAGTTTTTTTTGCTTTGCAACTATTGAATATGTTGCATTGATGGGCTCCTTTTGAAAATGTTAATTGACTTGCAGCCATTTACTGAGAACAGGCATACAGCAAATGAACACCCATGAAAGTCACAGTTCCTGATGTGCAAACTTGTTCTGGATTCATTACTCAAAGTATTAAACCCTTTGGGTCAACAGAAAGGGCATTCAGAATATTTAAAAGAAGAGTTCAACAACGACAGCATATGTATGTTCTCATTAAAGAAGGAGCAGGGCCAAAGCTCTTTTGATCATACTTCTGTGGGACACCGGAGTGCACTTAGTTCTGCACTCTTGTGAGCAAAATTCAACCAGTAGCGGGTTAAAGACATTGTCAGAGGGCCAGTCCAGGCTCTGGAGAGATACTGTACAATAAAATAATGTCGGGACACTGAAACCATCCATTTGCCTGACTGGCAGCTGGCTCAGCCTCTCAGCATGCCAATGAGACCCTTAACCAACTGCTCCTGCCCCTTCCAAAGCCCAGGGACTGCTGGAGGGACAGAGAAGAGAGCCGGTGACTGACAGTTTACACTCTGTGCTCAGATCAGACCTGAGAATCAAGCAATCAGTGGTTTTTGATCGCTCAGATCTGTGTAGAGCTGACAGGGGACAGATGCAGTTTCAGACCGATGCTGCAGTAATCAATGGGAGTATGATTGATTGTTTTTTTTTTTTCTTGTAACCAGTACTTCTCTTTTAATGGTATAGTTAAAGAGAAACATCAGGTCCCCTTGGGCTCTGCCCCCCCCCAATGCACCGCCATTTTCGTATTTCTGGCACGTGAGTAGATGTATCAAAGGGTTTTGCCTGGCCCTCAGGTCCTGGCAGAGCCCTTAGGTGCATAAGTCATTTCAGCACAAAAAATACATTAAAGTAAAAAAGAAAAAACATTTTTTATCCAAATGTGAGAGAAGGAGGGAGAGGAGGCAGGTAAAAATTAAAATTAATTTAGAGTGATGTTCTATTCATACTTGTGTGACTTGTCATGCAACTTGGGAACCAAGTCGCATAACAAGTCACAGCCCATGTATTTCAAATCTATGAGATTTAAAACCGCAGTGACTTTAAAAAGATTCCTGCACTATTTTGATGCAACTTTCATGCAACTTGAGCGCCACAGACTGCTATGCAAATGCTCAAAAGTTGCATTTTTGTGTCATCAATGTGACAGTTGTGCAACAGTCAACAGCCAAAGTCGCACCCAAGTTGCACACAGCCAAAGTTACACCAAAGTCGCAAAGGAAATTGAAAGGGAAAGTATGAATGGAGCCTTAAGGTCCGCTTTAAACAAATGATATCGCAGACTCGTTGAATATCTTCTCAGCAGAGTCTTCCATTGACAAAACATATTATGTACTATACAAGAGAAGACCAATCAATAGCACCATCTAGTGGTGATTTAACTCAACATTTGTGTTAAACCGGTCAAAGGTAGGTAGATGCCTCCTAAAGGAATGATGGGGAAAGTAATGTATCCACATCCTCTGTAGTATTAGGACAGGTCACTGTTTTCCTGTGAAATTTACCCAATGGGCAGAAACAGAGCACATGAAGTTGCTGCTTTCTTTAGCCTTTTCCATTAAGCAGAGGAAAAGGCTCAGCCCTACTACACAGAGATTTACAACAACTTTCTGAACAATAAAGAGCATTTTGACATTGTAAAAGCTTGTCATCTACCCCTCAAGAAACCCTAAACAGCTTCCTCCTTGCTAGAATGTCAAAGTGGGCCACTGAATTGAGAACAAAACAAAGCAGATATTAACCACTTGGGCACTTTTACCCCCTTCCTGCCCAGGTCAATTTTCAGCTTTCAGTGCTATTGCACTTTGAATGACAATTGCATAGTCATGCAACACTGTACCCATATGAAATTTTTATCTTTTTTTCACACAAATAGAGCTTTCTTTTGGTAGTATTTAATCGCCACTGGGGATTTGATTGTTTGCACTATAAACAAAAAAAAAGATAAAAAAAAAAAAAAAAAAGGTTTTCTTTGTTTCTATTATAAAATTTGGCAAACAGGTAATTTTTCTCCTTCACTGATGTGTGGTGATGAGGGCTGCACTTATAGGCAGCACTAATGGGCACTGACAGATGGCACTGCTGGGTGGCACAGATGGGCACTGCTAGGCGACACTGCAGTGCAGATCTCCTCTGTCACATTTACTGGTTATCGGCTGTACTTTCCTCACGCTGTGACAGTGTGAGGAAAGTGCAGTTGATAATCAGCAACTGTATTTACTTTGTGATCTGTTGTGTCATTCGACACAGTTGATCATGTGGTAAAAGGCCACTGTGACTGGCCTTTTACCTTGCCATGTGGTCAGCTGTGTCCGTAGTCAGCGATCACCGATGGCACCAGGTGGGGACACGTTCTGGGAGGACGTCCATGGAAGCCCTCCCAGAACTGGACAACTGCACTGTAGCCGTCATTCAGCCATAGCAGGTAGGTGTTCTTAAACTTTTTAATATGACGACCAATAGAAGAAAATTGGGGGAGAGGAGACTAAGAAATTATGCCTACAGCAAACTGGTTACACAGTCACTGTAAAATTAATATCTACTTTAACATTTAAGGACATAGGGAAATACAAAATGAATTCTAAGACTTTTCTTCAGTGAAACAAACTTACTGCTAGATAGGAACTGGACTGTTAAAAAAAAAAAAAATAATAATAAAAAAATAAATAATGTACTTAAAGGCTGCCACTGCTGAGGACCCTTTGAATATCCTAGGTTTCTGGCTGTCCTTGGTCTCAGGTCATTTGGCTGGACAAGCATTCAGCCAGTGAAGTCACAGGAAAGGAAGGACTCCTACCTGCATACTTGTTCAATGTCTGGGGCCAAGAAAGAACTGAAGCCTTTGATTAACATAACAGCAAGGTCATTTACAAGGTGGTCAAAAGGTGAATTCAGTTAGGATAGCGTACATTATTTTCTCAGTATTGGTTCCAACTCACCTTCTTGCAGTTTCAATAATGTCTTCAGGAGGTTTGAACATCTTCTTTACAATGCGCTTTTGTTTCCCGTGTTCTTTGGCTAATTGTTTTATATTCAGAATGATTTGAGTTGCTTGTTTGATTCCCAGTTTCACAGCGTGACAAAAATCCTGTTGCAACACATTTTCAGCTGCAGCTTCAAGCATTACTGCAACAGAAGAAAGAGGAAGTCACTGATTGGACAAGGCCACGCTCTAGCAGTCTGGTGCCCACCCTACAGCTCTTTGCTACCACTTCTACGACCCTTGGATCCAAGCAGTAAAGGGAGTCGGATCATTGATATGTAAAGGAACTGTAATGGCAGCGATCTCTAGCAGTCTCTTATATTATGTTCCCAGTCTCTGTCCCACAGCATGTTTCCAAGAACATCTGTAGCATATCAGCAGTTTCTGAGCATCTCCTGCAGAATACCTGCATACAGCCTTTTGTAGATTTGTAAATCCTGAATATCATGTGCGGCCCTTTGGCCGCAGTTGAAGCCTTCTATACTACATAAGCTGACTTGTTTCAACAAGTTGTGCTGTAGAAAAAAAAACCCAAAAAAACTACAGACAAAACTGAGCGCTGAGGAGTGTTGAGAGAGGTTAGAACTTGTGTTGGGTTATATTGCCTTGTGTGTTCTAACAGGGACAGACATCAATTAAAACCTGGATGATGTTCCATCCCTCCTTCAAAACACAGCACCTACCCCATAGAAATTAAAAGCCATATTTTCAAATAAGACAACTTAGTGCTGTAAAGGCTGGGGCAGTGAAATGCAGGAGTGTCATCATCTGAGGTTTATTCCTGAGCATTTAAACTAAAGTAGAGTATAAGTAGTCATCAATGGGTAAGCCCTTGATAGTCAGATACTAAGGGAAGCACACAATAAATTCCTTTTTTATTTGTGGAACGCAGCGGTTTATTATGACTCGGCAGCTTCAAGAGATAGTGCTGAAAAAAAAAGAAAAAGAAAAAAAAAAAAAAAAAAAAAAAAAATATATATGTTCAAAATCTTTTTTTTTTCTCTTCTCTTTCTTTCTTCTTCTTCTTCTTATCCCCCTCTGAACCTACTCTTTGATATGCCTTTTGTTTTCATGTCTTTCTATATTTCTATTTGCCATGGTATGTGTAGTCACGAACTGTCTGTTGCTTTATGACAGGTTATAGAGATTGCATGTATGTAAGATATCTGATTGTTTTCTGAATATTGCTATTCATTCTTGCTACATATAGTTGGTCATGTTGATCTGCCTTCTATGATATTGTATTTGTGTGCATTTATGATGTGCCCTAAATAAACAGTTTTATCGAAAAAGATCAAAATCTTTGGCACAAAATAAGTACAGGATACCCAAGCTAACAAGTGTCTAACTGTGGCTTTGCCACCCAACTCTGTGTACCATAGATAAAGCTTCAAGCAGGTGTGAAGTGTAAGTCGAGGGGTGGGAGCAAGCTCCATCACTAACAGGAAGTGTCTACACTTTGCCCAATCAGAATGGCTCAGTATTTGGGCTTAGGAGGACACAAAGCTGCTACAGGTGTGTCTGACATTTATACTGCTAGCACTCCCCCTCCCCTCTTCTATAGTTCTTGGTTCCGTTACACTTACACACACACACTCCAAATTTGCATTTTCATAGTGGAAATTGAATGGAAGTGCAACCACCAAGTAATGGATGATACTGGGGAGTGGGCCAGAGAATACAGGTTCAGATAATGAACAAAATATACAAGAAACAATGCAATAAATTACAAGGAGCTTCATACCACCATCAGTTTCTCAAGCATAGCCTGATTTGAAAAAGTGTGAAATGAAAAAGAATATGAACTCCTTATTTACGAAAGGTCACTACTGAGCTAGGCATCTCAACAGCAGAATGAGACTGGAACGGTTCAAATGAAAACCTTAGCATGAGTATGAAAAGAGACAATGAGAAGGCATAAAGAAACATTCTGTGCTTACCTACTTGATTTTGTAAGCCTCCAGTGACAACCAAATTTAATAAACTAGATGACATCTGCTTTCTAGTAGGGTTTATAATAAATTCTTCATCAATCATACCAATTCTAACGGCACCTAAAAAGAGAAAAATCCTAGTTGTTAAGTCTTCTTTTTATATTCAACAGACACATTGTAGCTAGATCTACAAGTTCAGGCAGCATGTGATTAGTCTAATATCAAAAGCAAAATGAAGACCAAAGAAAATATTACTGCTGTCTAGTTTGTAAAGATGGTACTAGCACACAGCAGATAAAACAATGTTTGCTGCAGCTCATATTCATACAGGAATTGTTGTAGGCAAGCTTGATAAATGGTGAATTTGCACTACAGCAAAATTAAATATTTAAACTAATTTACCTACCAGCATGTCTTTGGAGTGTGGGAGGAAACTGTAGTAAACCCACACAAGCACAGGCAGAATATTCACACTGAGAACCTGTGCTGCAAACCAAAAGTGTAAGCCATTGTGCTGAACAACCTCTTATATTATTATTATTATTATACAGTATTTTTATAGCGCCAAAGGGTATGCTCAGCGCTGTACAGTAGCAAGGGGGACAGATACCGTATTTTTCGCTCCATAAGACGCACTTTTTCCCCCCCAAAAAGGGGGGAAAATGTCAGTGCGTCTTATGGAGCGAATATAAAGCGGCTGGTCCGGTATTTCTGCCGCCACCATGTCAGAATACCGGGCCGGCCGCTCAGCTGTTCTCTCCTGTTCCTCTCTCCAGCGCTGCACAGTCTTCCCGCGCTGGCTTCTGTGACAGCCGGGTGCCCACTGCGCATGTGCTGCGCTTTGTGAATGATCCGGTGTCTTCTGGGACACATGACAGGTCCCAGAAGGCGCCCGGCCATTCACAAAGCGCAGCGCTTCTCGCGCATGCGCAATGGACACCCGGCTGTCACAGAAGCCGGCCCGGGAAGAAGGAAGGAAGAACAACTCCGCGGAAGTTGGAGCGGGTACCTGTCAAATTCAGGTACCCGCTCCACCTCCCTCCCTAAAGGTCAGCAGTCTCTGGTCATCCCCTGCACTGTCTGCAGTCTCTGGTCATCCCCTGCACTGTCTGCAGTCTCTGGTCATCCCCTGCACTGTCTGCAGTCTCTGGTCATCCCCTGCACTGTCTGCAGTCTCTGGTCATCCCCTGCACTGTCTGCAGTCTCTGGTCATCCCCTGCACTGTCTGCAGTCTCTGGTCATCCCCTGCACTGTCTGCAGTCTCTGGTCATCCCCTGCACTGTCTGCAGTCTCTGGTCATCCCCTGCACTGTCTGCAGTCTCTGGTCATCCCCTGCACTGTCTGCAGTCTCTGGTCATCCCCTGTACTAAGTCCGCAGTCTCTGGTCATCTCCTGTACTGTGTCCGCAGTCTCTGGTCATCTCCTGTACTGTGTCCGCAGTCTCTGGCCATCTCCTGTACTGTGTCCGCAGTCTCTGGCCATCTCCTGTACTGTGTCCGCAGTCTCTCTGGTCATCCCCTGTACGGTGTCCGCAGTCTCCGGTCATCTCCTGTACTGTGTCCGCAGTCTCTGGCCATCTCCTGTACTGTGTCCGCAGTCTCTCTGGTCATCCCCTGTACGGTGTCCGCAGTCTCTGGTCATCTCCTGTACTGTGTCCGCAGTCTCTGGTCATCTCCTGTACTGTGTCCGCAGTCTCTGGTCATCTCCTGTACTGTGTCCGCAGTCTCTGGTCATCTCCTGTACTGTGTCCGCAGTCTCTGGTCATCTCCTGTACTGTGTCCGCAGTCTCTGGTCATCTCCTGTACTGTGTCCGCAGTCTCTGGTCATCTCCTGTACTGTGTCCGCAGTCTCTGGTCATCTCCTGTACTGTGTCCGCAGTCTCTGGTCATCTCCTGTACTGTGTCCGCAGTCTCTGGTCATCTCCTGTACTGTGTCCGCAGTCTCTGGTCATCTCCTGTACTGTGTCCGCAGTCTCTGGTCATCTCCTGTACTGTGTCCGCAGTCTCTGGTCATCTCCTGTACTGTGTCCGCAGTCTCTGGTCATCTCCTGTACTGTGTCCGCAGTCTCTGGTCATCTCCTGTACTGTGTCCGCAGTCTCTGGTCATCTCCTGTACTGTGTCCGCAGTCTCTGGTCATCTCCTGTACTGTGTCCGCAGTCTCTGGTCATCTCCTGTACTGTGTCCGCAGTCTCTGGTCATCTCCTGTACTGTGTCCGCAGTCTCTGGTCATCTCCTGTACTGTGTCCGCAGTCTCTGGTCATCTCCTGTACTGTGTCCGCAGTCTCTGGTCATCTCCTGTACTGTGTCCGCAGTCTCTGGTCATCTCCTGTACTGTGTCCGCAGTCTCTGGTCATCTCCTGTACTGTGTCCGCAGTCTCTGGTCATCTCCTGTACTGTGTCCGCAGTCTCTGGTCATCTCCTGTACTGTGTCCGCAGTCTCTGGTCATCTCCTGTACTGTGTCCGCAGTCTCTGGTCATCTCCTGTACTGTGTCCGCAGTCTCTGGTCATCTCCTGTACTGTGTCCGCAGTCTCTGGTCATCTCCTGTACTGTGTCCACAGTCTCTGGTCATCTCCTGTACTGTGTCCACAGTCTCTGGTCATCTCCTGTACTGTGTCCACAGTCTCTGGTCATCCCCTGTACTGTGTCTGCAGTCCATTGGTTCAGAATATTTTTTTTTTCTTGTTTTTCCCCTCTAAAACCTAGGTGCGTCTTATGGAGCGAAAAATACGGTATGTAAAGTACCTATAGCTATATCAGAGAATGCATGGGGGTAAAAAAAAAAAACAAAAAAACCTTTAGCCTTTACAACGACTTTAAGCATTTAATATGCTAAGAAAAAGAAAGTTTAAGCTATAGATGGCTATAGATCAAGGATCAGCTTACCCAAGTGCATTTTTAATCCAGTGCTCTGCAAAAGAGAATTACTGCGCTCTCTCTCTCTCTTCAAAGGACTCAGAGGCAGCAGCGGAAGCCATTGGCTCCTTCTGCTGTCAATCAAATCATGTGAACAGGGAGCAGGGAAAAGGGTGGGTCTGAGTCATCTTGTGTGCATCTATAGATACACACAGTCTAGCTTAGGATCGAGGCCACATGAGTGATCCATAGCAAGTGGCTTTCTATGGAGACACCTGGAAGGGTGGAGAAGCCGAGAACATCGGCAGGGGAACCCAGAAGAGGAGGTTTGGGCCGCCCATTGCAGAGACCAGGTAAGTATAACAGCTTTGCAGCAGGGTTTGGGCTGATTGCAGCTTTTATTTTGTTTTACACATTGCTCATTTTTTCAGTTTTATTAATTGCAAACCCATTAAGCATAAGATATACAATTGCACAAGTAGAACATCCTTATTTTTTTTTTTAAGAAAGATAATGAACCTTTATAACCGCTTTAAGTATATTTAAAGCCAAAACATTTTTCCCCCCATTTTGGACAGATTAGGGTTCTCATACTTTGTCATTTATAACTTATTAGGGAGATTCTTCTTCACTTCTTCATCTGTAGACAGGACTCCCCTTCTAAACAGTTGTCATGGGAACAAGTGCCCCCTTTGGAAGATTTCCCCCTCTATTCTTGTCCTGGTAGCAACTCAAAATTTTGGATTTGCCCTCACTTTATTTGCCCTGATCACCAATGACACTGGGAATAAGGGAGAGTAAATTTCCTGAATAGGAACACAGTAACTAATGAAAACCTGACTCGGATTCTAACACTTAACCATCTAAAACTCAAGTACCTATTGATAAAGATACAGGACTTGCTATTCAAAAAAATGCAAAAGGTGTAAAAGGGAGGGGAGAGGGTTAGGATTAAGTAATATCTAAAACATGAGTGAAGGTTCGCTTTAAAGTCTCCCCATTAATAGTGAAAAGGAATGAAACACAACCGGTTTTACTACTGGAAGAACAAGAAAGAATATCCCTTCGCAAAAGAAAAATGCACTGAAAATTGTGGATCTAAGCAGTGTGTTATAACTGGTATATCCCTTCAGTTGCCATTTTGTGTTCTGGGCGTTGTCTCACCACCTGTGGCCAATTCAGGGTGCCTTGTTAAGGGTTTGCTCTATCCATGCATTCAGGCTCCTTTATACTCTGCTGCAATAAGGCTGTGATCTATGTGAAAGAGGTTTGGCTGTATACTTATGTATTTGTACATCTGAGGTATGTTATGGGCTGTAGATGTTACATTGGTGGTGCATGCTGTGAGTATATTACTCTGTTTCTTTTCCCTGTAGATTCCTGCATTGTATGGTGGTTATACTACAGCATTAGCAGAATTTTTGGAGACCCAAGTTACAGATTATTTATCCTTTTAAAAGACACATGGATCGTTTGATATACAAGCTATACGTTTATACACTAGGTAATATATAGATATATATATATATAAAATTATAAAGGACAGCGCCACTAGAAACAATATCACAAAAATATAAAGAATGAAAGATATATTAGGAAGAGCCGCTATCTCACCCCTGGTAAGCAAAGTACATACATATAAGAAAAAACACTAAAGGCAGCGCTCCTCAAATAAATATATCTCTGAATGAGAGAACTCAACCAAGATAAATAAACAATGGTTTCACAATAAAAAGAACAAATTGATGTGAAAAATATGAAAAACAATTCTGTAAATAAACAAATAGTGTCCAACATAAAAGTCCATATAAATAATAGTGTTCATAAAAGTAGTGTACGTTAAACTGTGAATGTTCTTTGATCCTTTATATTAAACTCTTGTATAATGTGCCCAAAATAACACTGAGAAACTCCACCACCAAATGAATTGAATCCACTCACCAGAGCTACATGCTTGTAAAATTATAAGCGGTTGTAGCTGGTTTATTATTTTACCAACATGTAGCTCTGGTGAGTGGATTCAGTTCATTTGGTGGTGGATTTTCACTGTGTTTTTTTGGGCACATTATACAAGAGTTTAATATAAAGGATCAAAGAAAATTCATTGTTTTACGAACACTACTTTTATGAACACTTATTTACATGGACTTTTATGTTTGACACTAATTTGTTTATTCACAGAATTATTTTTCATATCGATTTGTTCTTTTTATTATTGTTTTACCATTGTTTATCTTGATTGAGTTCACTCATTCAGAGATTAATTTGAGGAGTGCTGCCTTTAGTGTTTTTCTGGTTTATACACTAGAAGCTAGGATATTAGCTGGTACAGTAATTAGACTGGAAACATGATTAGGACCATGCTACGTTGGGATACACTACTAGAACAATCTCTCAAGCCTTGTGGTGTGGATGCGGTTACAGCTGGAGGATTCCCTTGAGGATATAAGCTTTGGGACTGTCGAACTGCTTTAAATACTAGACTGCCTCTCCGCTTTTTTTTTTTTTTTTTTAAAGTAACTGTATTCAGATGCTTTTAGCACCAGAGTTAAGTTATTATGCTGGACAGAAAGTTTACGTTTGTTTAAATGTAAATACTCCTGTCTTACAGTTTTTTGTGTGACAGCAGTTCTGTAAATTGGGTGGAAATTAGATATCTGACTCCTGTCTGGTGGATAAACAGGGACATGCATGGGTAATTATACATACATATATAATTTATAAGCTATTTAAATGCTTTGTGTGGTGCGTCCAATATGGACTATGGTGGCCTTATAGGAAACGATGTGGTGCTATCTACAGTATAGGTTTTGGGTGGTCTGGGTATGGCATTACTTGATGACCTGTATTCAGTTTTTGTCATAATAAGAAATGATTATTTGGGTCTTGAAGCCATTGCAGCATGGAGTGGGAGGTGCTCCTGATTGTAGGCCTCCTGATCTTGCCTTTATTCTAGGCCGTAGTCCCCCTCCCACTTCTTGCATGCCTACTTTGGTGTGTACGCAATGTAGGGCTTTACCCTATTATATATAACAACTTGTATTGTTTTGTTACGTTTTTCGTTTATAAAATATTATTTGTAAATGCACAAGCATGATTGGCTCCTGATGAAATGGACTATGTCCAGAAAATGCGCTGAGCTGTATAATTTTGAAACAGAATATCTGAGGAAAGATGTATTGCTCCCTTGTCTAAAGATGCTCAATATGGGGGAATGGTTTTATTGTATGGTTTTGTGTTTTTGCAATCTGTTGTAAATTAATGAGCAACTAATGGCTCTTTTATGTAAAAATACTGAATAAAAGACACATTGCTATTTTAAAAATATTTTTGTTGTGCCTCAAAAATCCCACAGTGTTTTGGTATATCCTGTCACTTACCAACAGGTCCGTTCCATGGTATGTCTGACAGTGCAAGTGCAGCAGAGGCTGAAAGAAGAAGAACACATTGAGGCTCACATAATATAGCACATGAAAGTAAAGGATTTTCAGCAGTTGTTTTCTGGAACCGTGCCATTACATATGGCTTGACTACAGCCAAATCTAACTGAACTGGCCATACAAGCGTACTGGTAAGAACCTAAAACTAATCTGGCCTTTCCGACAATGCACAACAGGTTTTAACCACTTGCCGTCCGCCTGCTTTTTTACATTTTTTGTTTTTAAACGGCAGGGCGGTGGTACTCCAGGGGCGGGTTGCCATTCATAAACGGCACCCGCTATTTCTAGTTGTGCGCGCACCGCGATCCGGTGCCTGCTGTGTCCTCCGGACACAGCGAAACACCGATCGTCGGACGGGACCTTTGTACGAGGTCCCGATCATGTGATCGCTGATTGGCCAATCAGTGACCACATGCAAAGTAGTAAGCAAGATGTCACTTGTGACATAATTGCTTACTACGTGTGAAATCTGTGAATGATCACAGAGGTCACATGGTACAAGGCTATTCACAATAGCCTTGTACCATGTGACAAGCTCTGACCCATCACAGCTCACACAGTATTTCTCAATGGCTGCAAAAATGCAGACAGAGAGAAAGAGAAATGATTGCTTTTACATCCTATATGGGTGTAAAAGCAATCACTGTAAAAAAAAATAAAAATCTTCATCACCCCCAAGTAGTACAGTGTCACTGACACTGTACTGCTAGGGTGATGGTATGTAAAAAAAAACAAAAAAAACAAAACATATAATATAAAAAAATATTATATTATTATATTATAAAATAATATATAAAAACAAAACATATAATATAAAAGAAAAATGTAAAAGAAAATGTTAAATTATAATTTTCGGTTATAACTAATTCAGCGTATTATTTATGATGAAATATTATTTATTTGCAAAATTTTATAAGAAAAACACTTTTCAAAAATTTTTTTGGACATTTTCATTTATATAGCAAAAAAATAAAAATCCCAGCGGTGAATAAATACCACCAAAATAAAGCTTTATCTGTCTCAAAAAAATGGTAAAAAATTCATATGGGTACAGTGTTGCATGACCGCACAATTGTCATTCAAAGTGTGATAGCGCTGAAAGCTGAAAATTGCCCTGGACAGGAAGGGGATAAAAGTGTCCGTACAGGAAGTGGTTAATATAGGTAGTTGCGTATACATATCCATAATCCAATGCAAGTCACCAACTCAAGATTAGGTGAAATTTTCTCACAAATTAATACTTTTACCATGATTGACTGTGTTGGTAACCTTTTATAAGCTCTCCTACTGTAAACATAAAGCAGTTTTAAGTGCTTTTTTCCCTTAAAATAACAAACGTGTTATACTTACTTGCTCTGTGCAATGCAACTGCACAGAGTAGCCCCAATCCTCCTCTTCTGGGTCCCCTACTGGCACTCTCTGCACCTTCCTATCTGTGTCTGCCCCCACTGCAAGCCACTTGCTATGAGGGCAGATGTGCAGGCTCTCTCCTGAGCCAGTGCATCCATAGACACACATAGTACACGACTCGGCCCTGCCCACCATGCAAAGGATATGACTAACAGCAGCAGGAGCCAATGGCTCCAGCTACCTCTCTGTCCTATGAATGTAGGAAGAGAGGAGAGACAGAAAGGAACAACACTGGATTGAATGAGGACTGAGGTAAGGGGGGGGGGGGGGGTGATACTGCTACTGGGATATTTTTTTAACTTAATGCAGGGAATGCATTAAGGTAAAAAATGTCCTGGCTTTAGAACAAATTTAAACTTCCAGTTTTGATTCATCTATAAACAAGATTTTTTTTTCCAGTCTTCAGCAGTGACGTTTTGGTATTGAGTGGCCCATATTAATCTTTTACACCTTATTTGGTTTGAAAACTGCTACTTTTCAATGAATGCTGAGTTTGACAATTGCCTTACTATTATCGTACATACTGGAAAAGGGCTTTCTTTGATCAGCTAACTCAGAACTTGGATGCACATAGTGTTTTGTAATCAGACTGATAAATTTTACAGGAAAAGTATTATTATTTTACAGGATCTATAAAGCAGTTTAAGGTTTCCACAACAAGAATGCTCTCTGGGTTTAATATTGGAAAACAAAACAATTTTATTTATACACATTCCCCTAAATATGGTGTTACCCACAGCCCACCAAATGCTGAGACCACATTAAAGTGCTATAAATTTCACAAAATAAAGAATGAAAAATGAAGAAACTGTCCACACAAAGTAAAAGCTTTATTGTAATGTTAAAAACACTTTAAATTAAGGCTACCCACATACCATCACATGGTCTTGTGTATATGTGGCCTCCCCCCCACCTTCAGTCACCCATGGGCTAAAAAATAAGGCCATAGAAAATAGGGGTCAATCCAAAACACCTTAGTGTATACAGGTATAACTCAAAGAAAAATACAGCAATTGCTGCAAAAAATGTAATCGTTGTGAACAACAATTTTTTATTTAACTGCAGAGATCCAATAGACAAGAACAGAGTATTTGAGGGGGATATAGATGCATTCATTAGGGATGCACCAAAATTTCAGCCACTGAAACATATCGGCCAAAAAATAGCTCTATTGGCATTTTGCCGATAGGAAAAATTTAGCCGACACAGGTGCCGATACAGAGGACTGTGTGTACTGCAGATGTTAGGGGGGGCGGTGGAGAAAGCAGGAGGGGAGCAGTGTATACAGTGACCGGCTGTCACTATGTCAGTGCTGGTTTTAAAAGAAAGCGCTGTTTTTTTTTTCCTTCACTATAGCTCAGATAATCCGCTGTCACTTTCCCTGAGCTAAAAGAAACAGTTTATTTTTCATTTCTTTCCCTAGCTAAAGCCAGCAATTGCACTTAAAAACCAGCACAGACATATAGTGACAGCCAATGAGGGAGCCTCTCTGTATACACTGCTCCTCTCCTGCCCCCTCCTTGCACACACTGCCCCCCTTCCCCCCTAAAAGATGGCTTTTACACTGTGATAGTTCACTGAAAACTACAAGCTGACAGCCGCTAAGGCTGCCGGGACTTGTAGGCACTCATTCACAAAACTATGTGAATGAGTGACGCGGCTGTGTGGGCGGAGCACCGCACGGCCACGTGGTTTTCAAATCTGACAGATAGTACGGGGAGAAGTTGCCCCGTACTGTCAGAGGGAGAGGGGGGGGGTGGTAGGGTGCGGCTGCAGCTATGGGAACATGTAACATGTTCCAAAGGTGAATTTACACTTTAATTGAACAAGCTGAAGCTAGAAGCTGACTGGTTACTATGCACATCTGCACCAGATTCTGTATGTTTTAGTAAATCCTCTCTCCCCCCCCACCACCTTTTGCTTAATATAAAGCAGCTACATGGGCATGGAGCACACTGCCAAAACATCAAGGACTGGGGCAGGCAGGAGACAAAAAAAAAAAAAAAAAAAATCAGATCATGGCTATAACAACTGATCATTTTTTTTTAAAGGTATTGTCTGTAATGTAAAAGAAAACACAAACATCAAAAAGGGAAAATCAGGAATACCTCCATTTATGGCCAATACATCAGGTTCATTAACACCATCCACTGCTAATAAATTACACAAAACCTGAAGAGAAAAATAAATATTGAAACTGTAATAATACAGATTTATTTATAGCATCTAAATATCTCTCTCAAAACTTTACTAAAGTATTTTTTTTTTTTTTTTTTAATTTTTAAGACTAACCTGCGTATCATAGAAGTAACCAGGTGGAAACAAGGGGCGGATTGACCGATCTGCAAGCAAAAAATGTTGTCAATTACCAGAGCTTTTAATTAAGTGAACAATAGAACATCATTTTGCATGGATATAAATATTGTTAGGGCTCATAAATTTACAACAAACAAGCATTTCAATAAGAAGCCCAATTAATTACTATGTTTTTCCCACAGCCTAAATCTTGTCAGTCTGTGTAAATCTTACAAATCCCATTTTATGTCTATTTTTATTTTTTTAAAGACTTCCTGGGGACACCTTAAAAAAAAAAAAAAAAAAAAAAAAAAAAGTCAAAACTAGTGCATTTACACATACAGTAGGGATCGAAAGTTTGGCCACCCCAGCTAAAAATATTTGTATTAATGTGCATAAAGAAGCCAAGGAAAGATGGAAAAATCTCCAAAAGGCATCAAATTACAGATTAGACATTCTTATAATATGTCAACAAAAGTTAGATTTTATTTCCATCATTTACACTTTCAAAATAACAAAAAACAAAAAAATGGCGTCTGCAAAAGTTTGGGCACCCTGCAGAGTTAATATCTTGTACTGCCCCCTTTGGCAAGTATCACAGCTTGTAAACGCTTTTTGTAGCCAGCCAAGAGTCTTTCAATTCTTGTTTGAGGTATCTTTGCCCATTCTTCCTTACAAAAGTCTTCCAGTTCTTTTAGATTTCTGGGCTGTCTGTCACGCACTGCTCTTTTAAGGTCTATCCATAGATTTTCAATTATGTTGAGGTCAGGAGATTGTGAAGGCCATGGCAAAACCTTCAGTTTATGCCTCTTGATGTAATCCCCCGTGGATTTGGAGGTGTGTTTAGGATCATTATCCATTTGTAGAAGCCATCCTCTCTTTAACTTCAGCTTTTTCACAGATGGCATCAAGTTACCATCCAAAATTTGTTGAAATTTTATTGAATCCATTTTTCCTTTACTCGTGAGATGTTCCCTGTGCCACTGGCTGCAACACAACCCCAAAGCATGATTGATCCAACCCCATGCTTAACAGTTTGGACAGAGGTTCTTTTCATTAAATTCTGTGCCCCTTCTTCTCCAAATGTACCTTTGCTCATTCCGGCCAAAAAGTTCAATTTTAACCTCATCGGTCCACAGAACTTGTTTCCAAAATGCACCAGGCTTGTCTATATGTTCATTTGCAAAGTTCAAACGATGATTTTTGTGGTGAGGACGTAGAAGAGGTTTTCTTCTGATGACCCTTCCATGAAGACCATATTTGTACAAGTATCTCTTTATAGTGGAATAGTGTACCACAACTCCAGTGTCTGCCAGATCTTTCTGGAGGGATCGTGCAGTCAAACGTGGGTTTTGAATTGTTTTTCTCACAATCCTGCGAGCTGTTCTGTCTGATATTTTTCTTGGTCTTCCAGATCTTGCTTTAACTTCCACTGTTCCTGATGACTGCCATTTCTTAATTACATTCCGAACAGAGGATATTGACATCTGAAAACGCTTTGCTATCTTCTTATAGCCTTCTCCAGCTTTGTGAGCGTCAACTATTTTCAGTTTCAGTTTTCTAGACAACTGCTTAGAAGAACCCATGGTGCTGATTGTTGGGGCAAGGTCAGATGAGTCTGGGCATTTAAAACCTTTGAGATTGACATCACCTGGTCTTCCCAGACGATGATTGAGAACAATCCATGACACTGGCAGGTCTCAGCTTAGGCAAAGGGGGCAGTGCATGCTATAAATTCTGCAGGGTGCCCAAACTTTTGCAGACGCCATTTTTTTTGTTTTCTGTTATTTTGAAAGTGTAAATGATGGAAATAAAATCTAACTTTTGTTGACATATTATAAGAATGTCTAATCTGTAATTTGATGCCTTTTGGAGATTTTTCCATCTTTCCTTGGCTTCTTTATGCACATTAATACAAATTTTTAGCTGGGGTGCCCAAACTTTCGATCCCCACTGTATCTTAAAGGATAAGTTCACCTTTCATAACAAATTACACCCATATTCATGGTGTAAGATATTACAAATGGACAGGGTCCGCATTCCCACACTCCCCTCCCCCCGATCCTCGGGACAGCTAGCGGGGGATTTTCTCCCCCTGCTAGCTGTCACAATTTTTAAAAAAGTGGCCGTGCAGGGCTCTGCCTGCCCTGTGTTCTTTGAATGAGAACACTACAAGCCTTCATGACTGTCGGCTTGTAGTTCCCAATGAACTACCATAGCACTGTGGAAGTTCATTGAGACTTCCAGTCAGTTTGTATCTGCTTGCCCATATGGGATGTCTGGGCACACAGATACACGGACACGTCTGCAGGAAACCTGCATGGCACCAATGATCAAAAACAAAAAATAATAAATGCACATTTTTTACCTGCATTTATTCTTTTTTGTTAAAAGGGGAACTTATCCTTTAAATAGAAATCCATTTCATTACCAAGTAGTAAGCTCACGCCTATGTAGTGAAACTTGGCATAGTTAAGTAGAAAAAAAAACGAGTGCATTCTGTTTATAGGTGTCAAGTTGGCCCACTGAAATAAAAGTTAAATGCACAAATATGCATGTAGGTGCTTTTCTTCTTTTTTTTTTTTTTTTTTTTTTTTTAAATGCTGAACAGTATGCAAATACAAAGAGAAACAAAAATGAATGCATCTCTATAATCTTTACGCTTCATTGTATTAATTTTTTTTTTCAAATACAAAAAGACAGCCTCTTGCAGTCCCTGTATATCAGGGCTGGAGTGTGAGAGGAAGAAGCAGCGCCAGCAAGCCAAGCAGTTTATGTGCTGAAAAAAGCATGCTGAAAGAAAGAGCAGAGTGGCAAGCTCATTACTTTGCTGATTCCCCTTTACTGTCCAGCTATAACCTGGGGTGGGTCCAGTACAATCTATGCTCAGAGGGTTGTATAATGCTGGCCATCAGACTGGTAACATCTAGTGGCAGATAAGACATACTGAGGAAAACAGCTCTGAACTGAAGGTGAATATTGCAGAAAAGGCCATTTTATATTTCTTCTTATAATAAGATATTCATTGTATTATTTTGCTTTTTTTTGGCTCCAGTTCTGCTTTAAACTTAGAAAAAAAAAATAGCACACGCACTAATATGTGCATTACCTTTAGGTGTACCTAGGATGACTCACTTCAGATTACACCTGTATGCGTCCTGTAATTTTTTTTCTCAAAAGCATTTACTATGAGCAGTATTGCTGCTGGGTTGACTGGGTTTTAGTTTTCTCATAAACTCAAAATTATCAGAAAAATAATCGGCATAACTGGCTTAGGCATATGTGTGGAGATTGTATTATTAGGATCGAATATCAGACTGTTAGATCCACTGTAGAAAGGACTGATTTCCATTTTTTTAAGTACCTATGCAGTTCTGCAGAACATATGCTGGTGCTAGAGAAAACAGAATCAAAATGAAACCTATTACCTATTATTCTGCTGGTAAGAATTTCATGAGGGGTAGATCCAAGTTCTCTTCGTAGATGGTTTGTAGGTATCCGTCCTGCAGCAGCAGCTTTCTGTCTGTAGTCTACCTATGTGGAAAAAGAAATGGGGCTTGTTATCACTTTATGCCAAGCAAAACTTCACACTGCACAAGCCCAATACAGTTTTCATGACAAACCAACTACAATAACTGATTTCAGGACTCTTTCAAGGAGCCCAAGAAAAATGCTTGCATAAAAGCAGAAAAAATAGATACATTGAAATAGCAATGCGAGAGATACTTTCACATACGTAAAAATATCAGTTTAACTAGTGTAACGTTTACTTACCACTAATGGCATGAACTGAGACGGCGAAGGACTGGTTTTGCTTACAGCGGTTACCATCACAGAAGTGTCACCTAGCTTTAAAATAAAGAACAAAATTACATATACACACATATATATATATACACACACACATATATATACAGTCATGGCCGAAATTGTTGGGCACCCTTGATAGTTTTCTAAAATCAAGTATTTCACACAAAAAAGGCAGTACTAGCATTAACCACCTCCATGTTTTGCTATTGCACATGTTTATTCCCTTTGTATGTATTGGAACAAATATAAAACAGAGGCAGAAAAGCAAATATGACATAATGTCACACAAAAACCCCAAAAATGGCCTTGTATATGAATGTATTGGGACCTTAATTTAATATTTGAGGGTTAGCACACCCTTTGGAATGTACAATATAACTGAAATCAGTCGCTAAATTGACCACTATTAAGTACCTGAAATAAGCTTCTGACACCAAAAATTTTCAACCCTTCCTTTGCAAAGGGCTTTAGGGACTATAGTTACATTTGGAAGGTATTCAGAATCAAATCCTACAAGCAATTTTAAGATCTCCCACATGCAACTCAAATGACATTTAGATCTGGGCTCATTGTGGCCACAGTCAGAAATGGTCCTTATGCGGTTCTTTGCCATCCAATTATTGAACCCTTAAAGACGTATGTTTCTGGGAACAGGTTCTGCTGGAAGACTTTCCATCAGGATATTTGACGCAAACCCAGCTTTCTGACACTAAGGGCCTTTAAGTGCGATACTCAGCCCTTCTAAATATCTTTGGTAATCCATCAGAAAACACCTGTGGATGTCACCGAGCAGCAATGATTTCATGATGCCTTGCACACAGTCAAGGCACCAGTGCCAGAGGCAGCAAAACAACCCCAAAGAATCATTGAACCTCTCTTCACAGGACCGTAGGGCACTGGCTTTAAGAAGATTTGCAGGCCTCATTCCGAGACGGTAAACCTTAGTAGAATGATGTCGCAAATTAAGGCAAAAGCTCTATCTTGAAACGCTATCTGGTCACAAGACGTTTTCCTGACTTCGAAGGCTTTTGGCTTACCTCAAGCGTACATTTTGGCAAAGTAGTCCCCGCTTTTTTTGTCTCTGTGGAAGCAGTGGGGTTTGTCCTCCTGTGGTCTCCTGCCATAGCGTTTCATTTCATTTAAATAAGACGGATAGTTCGCGCTGACACTGATGCTCTCCTGCCAGCCTGCAGGCGTACAGCTTGCTGTCTTTGGAACATGTTTGGGGACTGCTTATCCACCATCCGGACTATTCTGCGTTGCAATCTTTCATCAGTTTTCCTCATCTGTCCACGACCAGGGAGATTAGCTACAGTGCCATGGGTTGCAAACTTCTTGATAATGTTGCGCATGTGGACAAAGGCAAATCTAGTTCTCTGGAGATGGACTTGTAACCTTGAGATTGTTGTATTTTGCCACAATTTTGGTTCTCAGGGTCAATCAGCAGTTCTCGGGCTCCTCTTTTGCTGTCCATGCAGGTACAGGGAAGCTTCAGACAGACACACAATGCAAAGGTTAATGAACGTCTCTCCTTTTTATCAGGAGATTCATTGGATGGAAACTATGATTGCCCACACCTGTTACACCCCTGAGTTTACAGGAGCATCACATGGACTTGTAACATTCAATTTATCCCAAGCATACCTCCAAAGGGTGCCAATACTTTTGTCCAGCCCATTTTTGGAGGTTTGTGTGACATTATGTCGAATTTGCTTTCTTTCAGTCACCCTTTTTTTCCGTTTTGTCCCAGAACACACAAAGGGAATAAACATGAAAGCAAAACATGTGTTAATGCAAATACGTTTCGTGAGAAATACATGATTTCCCATGGAGAAATATCAAGGGTGCCAACAATTTCGGCCATGACTGTATATATTATATATATATATGTTATATAGATATAGGGCAGCACAGTGGCTAAATGGTTAGCACATCCGCCTGGCAGTACTAGGGACCTCCTGCCTTGAGTTTGAATGTTCTCCCTGTGCCTGTGTGGGCTTCCTCTGGGTACTCCCGTTTCCTCCCACACTCCAAAGACATGCTGGTAGGTTATTTCATTGGATACTGTCTAAATTGGCCCTTGTATATGAATTGTCAGTTAGGGCCCTCAGATAATGTAAATGCCCCTTGAGGGTTGGGACTGATGTGAATGTAGCAATATCAAACTGGCCATAAACGCTGTTTCAATTGACGTTGCACTAATTTTGGTACCTGAAATAAATAAATAGATTTTACAAAGGAGTAAAGCAAAGTATGCATACACTTGTAGCCAGTAATACAGCAGTTTTAGGCATCCTGCCCTTCATAGTTTTATAGTTACCAACCTGCAGCATGCAGTAGAAATGGGAAATGAATGCTCAGGTCCAAATAACTTCATATATACAACACAAGAAAAACTGATGAATTGTTGTCACTTGTTAAAGTGGTTCTAAAAGCTCAAGGTTTTTTTACCTTCATGCATTCTATGTGCAACATCCCAGCCCCCCTAATACTCAGCTAAGCTCCTTCTCGATTCAGCAATGTGCACTGGAGTCTCGGCTATCCTGGAACTCCCTCTCCTTGTCGGCTGAGACAGAAGCAGGAGTCATTGGCACCCACTGCTGTCAATCATAGCCAGTGAGGAGGGGGCGGGTCGAGCCACAGCTCCATGTGTGATTGGATACATGGAGCAGTGGGTGACCCCATAGCAAGCTGCTTGCTGTGGGGGCAACCGACAGGAGGGATGGGCTAGGAATGCTGGCGGGGGGACCCGAGAAGAGGAGGATCCAGGCTGCTCTGAGCAAAACCACAGTACAGTACACAGCAGGTAAGTATAGACATGTCTAAGCTCTACAAAAAAAAAAAGCCTCTATGATCACTTTAACCCTTTCCTAAAGCAAACTACTGCTTATAAAATGGGATTCTTTGTTTCCATATATTGCAACACATTTAAGCTGGCCAACTTTGTCAAAGTGATCCCTCTCTGCTCAGTGATACTCTATCTTGCAGATTTGCCTACTTTCACACTGATCTGTAGTAAAGACATGTTTTTACTGCATTTGTAGTATGTTTTTTACAGGACATGTGACGCACCAAAAAAAGCATTGTGGGTGCATTTTTCATTGATTTCAATGAGGAGGTGCATTTTTTTTATTGCACCAAAAATGCAGCAAGCAAGATTTTAAAAACGCACCAGACCTGCAACAGATCAGTATGAAGAGTTCCATAGGAATACATGGTCACACTTTATTCTTCCGCTTTTTTTTTTAACGCAAATGCAGAAGAATGGATCCGTGTGAAAGCAGCCTTATTTGCTAAAATAGCTACTCTTCAGTTTCTAACTTCAGTTTGTGTAATTAAGCTTTGAAGCTCTATCAAAAAGTTTTACTTTCATTGTCTTTACAAGCATGCAAAGGGGTTACCTTCACTACGGCGCATCCATCTGCAAAACGAGCAAGTTTGCCAGAAGTAATTTCCAATTTTCTGTTCAGATAAAAATTAAAAGAACAACAATAGATGTCAATATACAGCTGAACAATATTATATTCCTTATATGATGTGCAAAACAACTATTACAGCACCAAAGCCATTTGTTCCACTGGGGTATTTGTTTACTAGCACAAAGATCTGGATGTCATTAGATCTTCCTGTGTTCATGTGGGTTTTCCTCTGAGATTCCAAAACATACAGGTATAACAACAGAATTAGGAGTTATTATATGGCCTCATTCACACAGGCATATAGCGTTGTAATGCCTATGAAAAGTGTTGGCCTTGGACCCTTTGTTTCTTGGGTAATGTTTACAATAAAGCATTGTCGCCCAAATGCCAGGGGCAAGAGAAATGATGATGTCATTGTGACAATTGTGCGCAATAGAGGCATAGACCCTGTACATAACAAGCCATCTTGTTAGGTCGTGGCCATGTTGTCTCTCCTGGCCTCCCTCCTCCCTTTTGAATGGAATGTGAGTCTGTAAGTGAACAGAGGTCAAAAGTGCCTCTTATCTAACACACAGATAGATAAACTCCAGGGCTGTAAACAACTAATTAGTCTAGTTCCAGGGGTCTGCTTGAAAACCACTTTCCTCTGCCCGATCGTAAAACAATAACTCAGTCAGTCATGACCTGTTATGCAGGCCATAGATGGGTGGGAAAAAAAAAATGGCCGATTTTCACACTGTTAATGGGTTAATTGGTCAGCCGTTTTTCTGGATTTTGGCACTTTTTTTTATCAGTAAAGTTGGAAAAAAAAATCAGCTGATTTTCGCGGCAATGATGGGCAAATCGTGAAGGGGAGGAGGAGGAGGGAGAAAAAGGAGGAGGAGGAGAAGAAGGAGGAGGAGGAGGAAGAGGAGGAGGAGGAGGAGGAGGAGGAGGAGAAAGGAGGAGGAGAAGGAGGAGGAGGAGGAGGAGGAGGAGAAGGAGGAGGAGAAGGAGAAGGAGGAGGAGGAGGAGAAGGAGAAGGAGGAAGGAGAAGGAGGAGGAGGAGAGGAGGAGGAGGAGGAGGAGGAGAGGAGAGGAGGAGGAGGAGAGAAAGGAGGAGGAGGAGGAGAAAGGAGGAGAAGAAGAGGAGGAGAAGAAGAGAAGGAGGAGGAGGAGAAGGAGGAGAAGAGGAGGAGGAGGAGAAAGAGGAGGAGGAGGAGGAGGAGGAGGAGGAGGAGGAGAAGAGAGGAGGAGGAGGAGGAGGAGGAGGAGGAGGAGGAGAAGGAGAAGAAGGAGGAGAAGAAGGAGGAGGAGAAGAAGGAGAAGAGGAGGAGAGGAGGAGAAGGAGGAGGAGAGGAGAAGGAGGAGGAGGAAGGAGGAGAGAAGAAGGAGGAGAGAAGAATGAGAAGGAGGAGGAGAAGAAGGAGGAGGAGAAGAATGAGGAGGAGGAGGAGAAGAATGAGAAGGAGGAGAAGAGAAGAGGAGGAGAAGAATGAGGAGGAGGAGGAGAAGAATGAGGAGGAGGAGAAGAAGAGGAGGAGGAGGAAAAGAAGGAGGAGGAGAAGGAGGAGGAGGAGAAGAAGGAGGAGGAGGAGAAGGAGGAGAAGGAGGAAGGAGGAGGAGGAGAAGGGAGGAGGAGGAGGAGGAGGAGAATTCCAGTCCACTACTGTATTTGACATACAAACGTATTGCAGTTGCAACAATGTATCTATTTGTATCCGAATAAAACCATCTGTATCCGAAATGGATACAAATAGATACAATGTTGCAACCACAATACTTTTTAATGTCAAATATATTAGGGGAGCTCTCTGCAGGGACAGAAGTAATTAAATGCCGGCCGTAGACGGGACGAAAATCTGCCGATTTTTTTTTTACCGTCAGTGGTAACGTCGGCCTATTGAACGACCGATTTTTTTTTTTTTTTTTAAAAACGACCAGTTTTCGACCCATCTATGGCCTGCATTAGGCCATTAGAGCTAGAGTGTGCAATAAAACGTACATTCCACATCAGTCATTTTTCATACAAATTCATAAACTTCAGCAGGAACTGGGCACGTTAATATGAAGTAAATATTCGGATAGGTCATTTTAATATGAGTCAAACGAGACCTTGCATGACTATATCAGTACCTACAAAAGAACATAAAGCAGTCTCTTTTATCCGGAGTGGCAAGATATGCTAAGTTTAGTATCTGTGCGTTCAGAATTCTAAATATTAATGCCTGAATGCTCACATTATTATTAGTGTGTGTTATTATGCAGATTGTGATGAATATAAGATATATCCTCCTGTGTGTCGTGTGATAATAAAAGTGGAGGTTTTGACAGTGCAAGACTATTTCAGTTGGATTCTGTTATTTCTTGGAGTGTGGGGTGAATGCTATGATGTGCCAGGGCAGGTATTCATTGGGTAGTTGGTCTTTCACAATGCATAGAACATGTAATGGTTTAAATGCTGATTAAAAGAACCTGCACGACTGCATGTTGATTGTGTGCGTGTACATGACTTGTTTTTAGTAATTGTACCCAGTATCACTATTACAAGCATAAATGGGCCATTTTTTCTGGCATCTCAAATTCAGGTGCTGCGTGCAGGAAGCCCATTGAAGTCTAATAGGATGCAGTGGCTGCACAGACACAACCACTGGTCCTAATTTCACTTGCATGTGGGGTGCTAGGACCTGAATGCAGACAGTGTGCATTTGGCGCTGTTCGTCCATGTTTGTCACATCAGGACCAGTGTGTGTCCATCAAGCTTCTGCATCCTAATAGACTTCAATAGGATGCCTGCACACAGCTTCTGAAGTTGACACCAGAAACAAAACAGGCTGTTCACACTACAGGGGCATCATCACCTGTGCAAATGAGGCCTACATGGATACTTTATATATGGTAGCTGTGTAGAGTGTGATATAGAGAACTGTATATATGGTTGGTTGCAGGATCTCTATCCCTGGGAAAGGCGACGCAAATCCTTGACTGTAGAATACTGACTTGGGGCAAGTAAAAGGGCTCAAGTTAACAGGATAAAAGAAAAAAAAATGACCTACAAACCCCATGTTCTTGTCAAAAGCCTTTCCATTGGAACCCAGCTACATACTGTATATCTAAGGGAAAACGCAGCTTCTGCATTGTCATTGCTTTATTAAAAGCAAAGACGGTTTGCAGACCTGCAAGTGATGTTTTTTTAATGAAGACAAACATCATGTATATGAGAACTTACTGTGTGACAGATCACCTACCCGCCCTAGATGAGGGGCCCTTACATTTGAAAAAGCGGGTCAGTGCACTGTCCTTTACACTTTGGGGGGAAAGACTATGGTCAGTGGTTAGAAAATGCCCCACATCAGTAGCAGTACCAATGCCTCAGGGTCAGTGGTGATTAAAAAAAAAAGCCTCAGCAGTTGAAATAAAAGATGGCCTAGAACAGCCTCTCTCAAACTATTCAACACAGAGGAACCTATGCAATACCTTTCCAGTCTCAGGGAAACCCTGCTAAAAAAATATTAAATCTACAACTCATGATACTTTAGTGTGATGGTCCGTGAAAAGAATGTTCCTTACGCCTGTGGTTATTGAGAAGAAATACCCCCTTAACCGCCTCCCACTCGCCATATAAGGAAATGATGGGAGTGCAGCGGTTCGCTCGTTCTGGGAGAACGTCATATGACCTGCGGGGACACGCAGTGCGGCGATAGGTGATGTGCTGTGTCCCTGGGACACAGCGGATCACCGATCAGCAGAAAGAGCCGATGACTTTGGCTCGGTCATGTGATCAGCTGTGTCCAATCATGTAAGCATGTAAATAAGGGAATGTCGGTTATCCGCATTCCTCTCCTCACAAACTGTCACGCTGTCAGCTCGTGAGGAGAGGAGAGCCGTTAATCAGCATTCCTCAGAGGGAAAATTGACAGAAACACTGACACATAGTGGCTGAATGCCTCCTATGAATAGGAACTGAAACCTAATTGAATATTTCTATCTATAATCCAGCTCTGAGGAAGAAGGGATCACCCTTCGAAACGCGTTAGATTGACCAAGAGTTTATCTCCCTTCCGGATGGAACTCGCATGTGACTTTTAAACCCTGTGTTGGCTATGGATATTATATGCCTTTACTGCTACTTTTGTGAGTATAATTTATTAATAAATACATGACCTGTTTACTGAGGTAATGCGCAAGGTTGGTGCGCTCTTTTCTTTTGTTCTTTATTAAAATTGGATCCTGCCTAAATTGGCCCCAATATGTGTATGCATGAATGTAAGTTAGGGTCCTTAGATTGTACGCCCCTTGAGGGTTAGGGACTGATGTGAATGTACAATATATATGTAAAGCACTGCATAAATTGATGGCGTTATATAAGTACCTGTAATAAACAAAGCATTTTTCCTAACAAATTCATTTAAGACCATGTTGCAAAAATGGATACACCCCAATGAAAGTCTTAGGAGAAAATGAAACATGGTGTGTGGGGCTGTATGAGTGGCTGGTGTCGGGGAGCTGCATTTCATTGATGGTATCATGAATTCACAGATGTACAGGCCTTAAAATTTCCACTCGCCCGCTCGCCAATGGGAGCGAGTTTGTCCCCCAGAGCTATCTTGCTGAGCAGGCTCGGAGCTCAGGCCAGATCTGTCATTGGCACTGGGAGCTGTCAGAATGCTCAACAGCTGAGAGCAGTGAAAGCAAAGCAAGGAGTGTGTGCTGTGCTCTCTGCCCCCTCCTAGAGTGCAGTACCTGGCTGTGTGTGGTGAACAACGAAATACTGCAACTTTTTATAGAGAGGTGTGTGTGTGTGTGTCTGTACCTAATTTTAGCTCACTCTGGTCACATGATCCTCTATGTCAGCCAGTGGTGGCTTCTGGGGAGAGGAGAGAGCACTTTGCCTGCGTGCGTGTGTACATGTTTGTGTGTGTCTGTGTATGCATGTACAGTTGTGGCCAAAATTATTCAACCCCCAATGCTGTAAAGGGGTTTAGGGACTATAGTGTATACATTTGGAATTGTATTCAGAATCAAATCCTACAAGGACTTGTAACTACCCAAATGCAACTAAAATGACATCAATTGTTTATGTAATACAGTAGTAAATGGTTCTTATGTGGTTTCTTCATTGCCACAATTATTCAACCCCTTAAAGACTACCCACTCTGAAGAACAGAGGTTCATACAGGTGCTTTCCATCAGGTATTGAAAACACCTGTGGATGTCACCGAGCAGCAATCAAGCATAATAAGCACCAATTAGGCAGCTTTAAAATGACTGTGATACTCAGCTCCTTCTAGACATTTACTGGTGTGGTTACAAACATGGTGAAGGCAAGAGAATGGTCCAGGAAGACAAGAGAAGAGGTGATTTCTCTTCACAGGAAGGGCAATGGCTATAAGAAGATTGCAAAGATGTTAAACATACCAAGAGACACCCTTAGGAAGCATCATTCGCAAATTCAAGGCAAAGGGCACTGTTGAAACGCTACTGGTCGTGGCAGAAAGAAGATGCTGACTTCGACTGCTGTGCGCTACCTGAAGCGTAGAGTGGAGAGAAGTCCCCGTGTGACTGCTGTGAGAAAAGATTTGTCAGATGTGGGTACAGAAGTTTCAGCCCAGACAATAAGACGCACACTGCGTAATGAAGGCCTCCGTGCCAGAGAACTCCCAGGCGTACCCCCTTGCTGTCTCCAAAGAATAAGAAGAGTCGACTGCAGTATGCAAAAGCCATGTGGACAAACACAAAAGTTGTGGGATAGTGTTCTGTGGACTGATGAAACAAAATTTAGAACTGTTTGGGCCCATGGATCAACGCTATGTTTGGAGGAGGAAGAACAAGGCACTATGATGAAAAAGAACACCTTGCCTACTGTGCATGGTGGAGGGTCAATGCTTTGGGGCTGTGTTTTGCTTCTGCAGTACAGGGAAGCTTCATGCGTGTGCAAGGTACCATGAATTCTCTTCAGTACCAGGAGATATTGGATGGAAACGTGATGCAGTCCGTCACACACACCTGTACATGGACCTGCATACCTCCAAGTGTCCACTAGAGCATGTTGCAGAGGAAAGGCTGGAACATTTTGGAGTGGCCCATCGCAGTCACCAGACTTAAATCCGATTGAGAACACTCTGGTGGGACTTAAAGAAAGCAGTTGCAGTGCGCAAGCCTAAGATGTGACTGAACTGGAGGCCTTTGCCCATGAAGAATGGGCGAAGATACCCGTAGATCGCTGCACAGTTGTGTCAAGCTGCTTCACTTTAAAAGCTGTTTCTGTAAAAGTACTAAGTACAAGATTGTGTCATTGGGTTGAAATGTAATGCTGTGAGCACAGAAAAGACATTTGTGGTTATTTCATTATAACTGTTATGTTATTATTTGTCTGACCTGTTTAATGTAAATGTAAGCAAGATGTGAATGATCAAAAGCAATGTCAAACAAAAACACTCAATTTCAGTGGGGGTCCACAACTGTACATGTGTCTGTGTATCTGTACATGTATGTGTGTGTACATGTCACTGTGTGTGCATGTACATGTGTGTATGTACGTACATGTGTCTGTGCGTGTATATTTCTGTGTATGTACATGTATCTGTGTGTATGCATGTCTATACGTGCCTGTGTGTGTATACAAGTGTCTGTATGTGTGTGTACATACATGTCTGTGTGTGTATACGTGTGCACGTACATGTGTCTCTGTGCGTGTGTGTATCTCTGTGTGTGTTTGTTGGTGGCGAGTACCTCAAGGCCTGGCTAGTATCTCAGGACTTGAAATGTTAAGCCCTGTACTACTCTATATTTAAAGAGAAGATGCTACAATCACTCTGTATCCTGGGACGTCAAGCACTTTTCCAACATGACAATGATCCAAAACACACATCTAAGGCCACTGTTGTATTTCTGAAGAACAGGGTGAAAGTGATTCAGAGGCCAAGTACGTCTCCTGATCTGAACACCTATGGGGAATTCTGAAGAGACAAGTTGAGCATCACTCTCCATCCAGCATCCAGGCTCTAAAAGAGCTCATTCTTGAAGAATAGAAAAAGATAGATGTTGCAATATGTCACCAACCTCTTTCATTCCGTGCCTAGAAGATTTTGTGCGGTCCTTACAAATCATGGAGGTCATACAAAATACAAGATGTAGTAGTTTTGTTGTGGGGTGTATTATTCATTTTTGCATCAACTAATTTGAGTAAAAGTGAAGATTTTGTAATCGAAGTTTCATTACTAACTTTACTTTCATGTAATGAGCTAAACAAGTGTATAAAACTCAGTTTTGTCAAAATTTTGGAAATTGTTCTCGTGTTCATTGAGATATTGATTAAAATTAAAAGGGGTGTACTCATTTATGCTGAGCATTTTATGTGTGTTATGTGTGTGTATACACACACACAGTTGATCCCAAGGAAGAAAAAATACCCCAATAAAGCTTGCTCCAATTTGCTCCTGCAGGGGAAAAAATTCCTTCCTGATCCCCCAAGAAGCAATCGGATATTCTCTGCATCCACTTAACCTATAAATAGGAGTAACCAGTTATATTCTGTGTATCTAGGAAAAAATCCAGGCCTTTTTTTTTAAAAGCAATCTACTGAGCTGGCTAGATTCAGATCTCAAGGGAGTCTACTTCACATTTTCACCATCCTTACTGTGAAGAAGCCTTTCCATATTTGGAGATGAAATCTATTTTCCTCCAGATATAAAGAGTCCTCTGTGATGACCTTAAAGTGAATAACTCTGAGTTCACTATATATACCACCTATGTATTTATACATGTTGATCATATCCTCCATTAATTCCCTCTTCTCAAGAGAGAATACATTCAGTTCCTCTAATCTTTCCTCATAGCTGAGCTCCTCCTCCATGCCTCTTATCACTTTAGTTGCCCTTCTCTGTACTTTCTCCAGTTCCCCAATGTTCTTTTTGTGAATTGGTGCCCAAAACTGAACTGCATATTCCAGGTGAGGTCTTACTAATGATTTGTACCGGGGTAGGCTGGTTAGAGGCAAGGATAGGTCACAGTTTAGGAACTACTAGCCTAAATAAAGTGAGCATTGTTTTTTTATTTTTTTTTTTTGGGGGGGGGGGGGTGTTAGCTCCAGGCAACTGAAAAATGAACCCTTGCCATGGAGCTGCATCTACACTGCATAGCTTAAGGCTAGGTTCACACTAGTGTGGGCACAGCAGCCAATTCATGTGAATGGATTGCTGTGCCCATGTTTCACAGAAAAAAAAAAGGTGCATGCACCTTTACCAAAACGCACTTGCAGATGAAACCGCATGGTCTTTTCCTACACCAGCAATCGTGCTGAATGAATAGCAGCCCAGGGCGTCTCGCAAGAGCAGCGTGATTAAGCTGCAGGTAGTTGCAGGAACAGGTGCGATTCCTACACCTAAAACCAACCCGCAGCCTGTGTGCTAGTTTGAACCCCTTGGTGTCATCACGTCCATTGCAGGGCTATGAACCCTGCTTTGGCCTAGATGACGTCAGGACCCCAGACCAATGCAGTGTGGGGGAGAAGAAGCTGTGGGGAAGATCAGGGAAGCACATTTCTTTTTTTGTTCCCCTAGACCCGGGGTAGCCAACCTGCGGCTCTCTAGCTGTTGTGGAATTACATTTCCCATGAGGCATTGCAACATTACAAAACTGACAGTTACAGCTATGACTTGCAGAGGCATGATAGAACTTGTAGTCCTGCAACAGCTGGAGAGCCGCAGGTAGCCTATCCCTGACCTAGACCAAAATGAGCTATTAACGGTGCAACTTTGCCAGGTGACTTGATGCAGCTCAAGTACGACTTTGATGCAACTTGATGCACGACTTTTATGCCATGCGGCTTTGCCTGGCCTGTAATGTCAAATCCAAATCACATCAATATAGAGGCGGATCCAACTTGGAGGTGACTACCATTAAAGTCTATGGGCACAAGTTGAATAGAAGTCGCCTTGAAGTAGTACAAGAACCTTGTCTAAAGTCAGAATGGCTTCAGAAGTGCTAATTAAAGACAGCTCTCATTGACTAACATGGGATTTTACAGATCATAAGACTTTGGGTCTCACAAGTTGGATCCCAAGTCGCAGCAGTGTGAACCGAGCCTTAGTAAACTAACCAAGAAGTGTTGAAATGTTTTTTTTTCATTGTTTTTGAACACCAGAGGCCAATAAAAGTGTAACTATAGGTGATTTATTGTTCATTTTGGATAGGGTAATGGAGGATTATACCCCGTCAGGTTTTTTTTTTTTTTCCATCTGTGTCCCGATGTAGAGATTTCCTTCACTTCCTGTCCCATAGTCAAAACAGGAAGCGAGAGGAAATCTCTGCAAGGTGGCTGTCACCAGAACTAGTGTCCCCACTGGGAGATTTCTCCTCTATTACTGGTATGTAGACAACCCAAAATTTAGGATTTACTTTCAATGATCATGGAAAACAAATAGAGAAGGTGGCACTCCCTATGACAATGGCACAGACAGCAATACCAAGTTTTGCCCGAAGCTGAATCTCCCTCTAGCTGTCTGGGTGCCATTACACCGAGTAGGAGACGCAGCATGCAGCCCTGAGCCCCACGTGTGTTCCTCCACCATACATTACCTCTCCCCCACATCCACACACACTGAGCCGCTGGCTGCTCGACTAATGCTCTCCAGCCGTGACCGGGGCCACAGCACCGCCGATCGCCGGTTCCCACACAGAGCTGCGCCCCACGTCCTCCACAACAGCCCGGTCATCGCTCTAGTCCGGCATCTCCAGGAGGCGGCCATGACACCTGTCACACTGAACGCAGCGCTAACGCCCATTGGCTAACCCGCTCGCATACGTCAGCACGTCCACAGAACGAAACCTCCAGTTTGGATTCTGGGACTTGTGGGAGGAGTCTGTGAGATTTCATGACGAGCAACCCCGCCCACCAAGCATGCTATGTACAGCCGCTAGAGGGCAGAGGACTGTCAATGGGAGTAATGGAAGCCAAAGCCAAGTTGTGCTGGGAGCTGACATTGCCGACCAATGCAGGCCATAGACGGGGAGAAAATCGGCCGAATTTTCGGCTGAAAAAAATATCTTTTTCGCACCGTTAGTGGGTTAATTGGTCGGCCGTTTTTTCGGGATTTTGGCACATTTTTTTTATTGGTGAAGTTGGAAAAAAATCGGCCGATTTTTCAGGCAATGATGGGCAAATCGGCCGATCTTTTTACCGATAAAAATTTGCGCATGAGCCGTGACCTGCAAGAAGAAGAAAAGAAGAAGAAATCCAGTCCGCTATTATATTTGACATGAAAAAGTATTGCGGTTGCAACAATGTATCCATTTGTATCTGAATAAAAACATCTGTATCCGAAATGGATACAAATAGATACATTGTTGCAACCGCTATACTTTTTCATGTCAAATATAATAGCGGAGCTTTCTGCAGGGACAGAAGTAATTAAATGCCGGGCCGTAGACGGGACGAAAATCGGCCGATTTTTTTTTACCGTTGGTGGTAACGTCGGCCTATTGAACGACCGATTTTTCTTTTTAAAAAAACAGCGGTTTTTGACCCGTCTATGGCTTGCATCAGTGGGGCCCCGCCCGTCGGCCGTTTTTCATGGATTTTCTAGCATGACTGATTAAAGTAAACAAGACGATCCACGAAAAATGGCCGACGGGCGGGCCCCACTGATGCAGGCCATAGACGGGTTGAAAACCAGCCATTAAAAAAAAAAAAAAAAAGAAAAATCGGTGCTTCAATAGGCCAACGTTACCACCAACGGTTAAAAAATCGGCTGATTTTCGTCCCGTCTACGACCGGAATTTAATTACTTCTGTCCCTGCAGATATTTGACATGAAAAAGTATAGCGGTTGCAACAATGTATCTATTTGTATCCATTTCAGATATATATGTTTTTATTCGGATACAAATAGATACATTGTTGCAACCACAATACTTTTTCATGTCAAATATAATAGCGGACTGGAATTCTTCTTCTTTTCTTCTTTTTCTTCTTCTTTTTCTTCTTCTTGCAGGCCACGGCTCATGCGCAGATTTTTTATCTGTAAAACAATTGGCCGATTTGTCCACCATTGCCGGGAAAATCGGCCGATCGGCAAAATCAGCCGATTTTTTTCCAACTTCACTGATAAAAAAAAATGTGCCAAAACCCAAAAAACAGCCAACCAATTAACCCACTAACGGTGCGAAAATCGGCCCAAATTTTTTTTTTTAAAAAAAAAGAAAAATCGGTCGTTCAATCGGCCGACGTTACCACCGTCGGTAAAAGAATCGGGAGATTTTCGTCCCATCTACGGACAGCATTTTTACATCTGTCCCTTGCAGTCAGCTCCGCTAATTTATTTTACATGAAAAAGTCTTGCGGTTGCAACAATGTATCCATTTGTATCCATTTTGGATACAGATCTTTTTATTCAGATACAAATAGATACATTGTTGCAACCGCAATACTTTTCATATAAAATATAATAGCGGACTGGAATTCTTCTTCTTCTTTTTCTTATTTTTGCAGGTCACAGCTCATGCGCAGATTTTTTATCGATAAAACAATTGGCCGATTTGACCATCATTGCCGGAAAAATCGGCCGATCATTAAAATTGGCTGCGAATTTTCCAACTTTACCGATAAAAAAAAAATGTGCCAAAAGCCAGAAAAAGTGGCCAACCAATTAACCCACTAACGGTGCAAAAATCGGGCAATTTTTTTCTTCGGCCAGTTCTCGAATGATAAACGAAAAATCGGTTGTTTGTTTGGCCGACGTTACCACCAACGATTAAAAAAATTGGCCGACTAAATGATAAAGTTCACCCCATAACTTCTTTCCCGTCACGGCTCATGCGCAGATTTTTTATCATTAAAACGATCGGCCGATTTGGCCATCATTGCCGGGAAAATCGGCCGATCATCCAAATTGGCAGCAAATTTTCCAACATGACTGATAATCTCAAAGTGCAAAAAACCCAAAAACGGCCGACCAATTAACCCGCTAACAGTGCGAAAATCGTCCAATTTTCGAACCGCCTATGGCTGGCATAACGGCGTGAATATTGGCCGATTTTTTGTCTGCACGAAAAATCGGCCGATAAACAACCCGTCTATGGCCTGCATTAAACACCCGGTCACACTGGGTGCCAATTGGCATGCGATGTGCATGCCATGCGATTTGCAAATTGCATGCCAAGTCGTACCCTATTGGCCGCAAAAGTAGTACATGTGAGGGTTGAGCGCCGCACCTAGTGACCCCCATCGCACGGAGTGACACCGGACCCGCTCCACGAAAAGGTACGTTTTAAAGCAAGCCGCCGATCCCCGCAAGATGGATCGGATCTGCGGATGAAGCATAATGGATTGGAGTCTGATCCATTATCCTCCCCAATCCGCAGATCCGATCCATCTTGCGGGGATCGGCGGCTTGCTTTAAAACTTACCTTTTCATGGAGAGATCAGTTAACCCCGTATAGGATGCATGCCGACGATCCCCACAGGATGGATCGGATCTGTGGATGGAGGATAATGGATCAGACTCTGATCCATTATGCTCAATACGCAGATCCGATCCATCCTGCGGGGATCGTCAGAGGGGGTGTCACCAAGTGTTACCGCCCCAGGTGACACCAACCCTAGGGATGCCCATGTGCACTACTTTTGGTGCGATTTGCATAGATATCTGTATCAAATGTTTGTAAATTGCACATGAAATCGGCGGGTCCCCCGACTTTGAAATCGTGCGACTTCACTGTAAGTCGCACGATTTCAAAGTCAGGTTTGATGTGACCGGGATGTAAGGCACACGCGGCGTTTTAATAACACTGGTAACGTTAGCTGTGTAAAGTCACGTTAAAAACTTGAGTTTTTTAGCTCTTTTGCATTAGCATTTTGCCGCGTTTTTTTCGTGGTTGCATTTTTTTAGCTTTTTTTTACCCCCCAAAATATATTTTTTGCTCAAAAAAAGTCCCAAAATGCTGGTTTACCATGTTTTACCACGTTTTGCAGTGTTAGAGCTAAAAAAACTCTAGAAACCCACTAGTCTTGGGTTTTTTTTTCCAGCCAAAAATCGCCCCTGCTAAAAAAAAAAATAATAATAAATTTAATTCAATAATGTAATCAAACCAAAAACACTGAAATTTGAAATAGAGCGCCAAGTTCTCACATCACTGATCTTAGTCGCAAAATCATTTTCAGTGTCTGATGACAAATTTCCTCACGAATCATTATCACTCAATTCTGCAAGTAGTTCTAATTTACTATCGCTGTTCTCTAGCCGGTCTAAAACCTAAAAGGACGCTTTTTGGACGCCATGGACGTTTCTCAGTTTCCAGGCAGAAAGAACAGTAAAAATGCAGGCAGGGCACAGGACACAGCACTTGGGACAAAATGTATGTGAAATGGTTTGATACAGTAATGTTCTACTATGTGAGTTTAGTGAATTTAGGGAATGTCACTTTTTAAAATTTTAAAATTTCCCGCCGGTTCCATCCCCCGTATGTCCCATACATCCCGATGTCGCAGGGAACGGAACCCGGAAGACGGATGCTGGCATCGGCCGGAGGAGATGGCCGGGGATACTGCAGGGGGATATCGTGGGAGCGAAGGACAAAGTAAGTGATCGAAGGATCCCGGAGCAACATTGCATGGTATTCCTGTGTGTAGCTCGGGGTTACCACTTGTGGTGCTGAAATTTTACCCCGAGCTACACTCGGGAATACCTCCAGGGAGGTTCAATGGAGGTTGGGGGCTATTGTTATGATCACTGACACCAATGAAAGTGGGGGGGGGGGGGATATTATTGTGCCCACTGACAAAAGTGAAGAAGCTCATTATTCTCATTATTATATCTGCTTGAAAGTAATGAAAGGGAGGGTGGATGAAGCACCCTTCTAGTGTAGGATGCTAGATACATTTAGGTTTTTCGGCTCCTTCTGCAATCAAGGGAGCAGTGATCATTTGTCCTTGTGTGTTCAAGGTTTTTACAGGCTGGGAGTTTACTTCTCTCTTTCTCTGGAGTAAGCTTCCAGAGCTTAGGGAGGGAGATGCAAATAACCAGCCTTAATATTTATCATATGTCATAAAATAGTGCCGCGCATATATCTCTATAACCTCATATATGAATTAACCACTTGAGCTCCAGAGGATTTACCCCCCTTAATGACCAGGCCTCTTTTTGCTACTCGGCACTGCACTAATTCAACTGATAATTGCGCGGTCATGCAATGCTGCACCCAAACGAAATTTACATCCTTTTTTTCACACAAATAGAGCTTTATTTTGGTGTAATTTTATCACCTGTGCGCTTTTTATTTTTCACGCTATGAACAAGAAAATGCCAAAAATTAAAAAAAAAAACAACAATATTTTTTTACTTTCAGCTATAAAAAATATATAGTAAACTCAAAGTTAGTTATAAATTTAGGCCAAAATGTATTCTGCTACATGTTTTTGGTAAAAAAAAATCCCAATAAGTGTATATTGATTGCTTTGTGTGAAAGTTATAGCGTCTACAAACTATGGTATAGATACTGCAATTTACGCCATTTTTTTGCTATACAGCGCTGCGCTAGTTTAATGGACAATTGCGCAGTCATGCAATACGGTACATAAATAAAATTTACATCCTTTTTTTCCCACAAATTGAGCTTTCTTTCAGTGGTATTTGATCGCCTGTGCGGATTTTATTTTTTGCGCTATAAAAAAAAAGGCTGACAATTTTGAGGAAAAAAAAACAATATTTTGGACTTTT